TGTTGGTGATGTGGAAGGCAGTGTGAGTGATGAGGTTGGTGTAGTTGGTGCAGACGGTGGTGATGTGTTTGATGCTTCCATTAATGCTGATATTGCTGCTTCGACTTGTAACTTTGATTCTGACGTTCTTATGTATTCGTCTCTGGTTTCTAATGATGGTTATCGTTTCGATGGTCCTGGTCAGTTTTGCGGACTTTCCTTGGTCCTTTCGGATGGTTCTTGTCCAAATTTGTTTCCTCTTTCCTCTTCTGGTCATATGTCTGGCGATTTGTCTCCTATTTTGGAAGAAGTTTCGTTGCCCTTTTCTCAACGTTCTTTGGCGCCCAATAGTTCTCTTGGAACAAGTTTTGTTGCGCTTTCGAGCTTGCCTCAATCTGAGGTAGTTTTAATTATCGTGTGTTGCCTTTTTCTTTCCGTTTTGCTTTGCTATCTGCGTTATGTTTTCTTGTCTCCTTTTCGCATGTTTTTTTTCTACATTTTGCCTAGACTCTTTTTAAGCAGCTTTGAAGGTGTCCTTTTTAAGTTATTTTTGTGTGTCACCTCTTATCTGTACTGATTATTTATGAACGCGTTGCCTTTATTTAGGCCTTTTGTTTATATTTGGCATGCTTTTATCGCTTTTTGTGAATTTAACCTGTATAAATGCTTTTGTTTTCCTTTTTTTGGACCCTCACGGCATGTTAATGTGTGCCTGCTTGCTTGCAAGCCAGCTTGTACTTTTTGTCCCCTTCATGTCGTTCTTGCTAGTTCTGTGTTTTCTTATAGGTAAATTACACTCGTCTCTTTGGCGGCGTTCTTACGGAATTAGATTCGAAAATGGCTTGGATTTTGACCTTGCAGGAACGTATTTTTAATGAAACCTCAATTTCACTTAATGACAATGACAATCAAAAATTGTTGGACCGTTACTACGTAGGTTGATCTGTGAATCCTAAGAACATCTCTATTGGCGCACACTTGAGTGCAATAAATAGCTTACTCTTTTTTTTTCTATTAAGGAAATAAATAATGACCTTTTAATTCATAAACAAGACGCCCTAGCCGTCTGCGAAAGAGCTGAGTTGCTAGCTCAAGAAGCTATCGCTGCACTTTCTTCAGAGAAACGAAGTCTTTTGGAAACTAAGGCTAAGGAGGTTCGCTTGGCACTCGGACAGGTAGTACCAATGCCTTAGAGTTCCAATCAAGCCATCAGATTGACCTTGGTTTAAAAAATATTGTTTCTTATAGCTTATTCAGGAGGCGGATTTGAGGATACATCTTCTGGCCGCTAGTCTAGACAACCTTGAGCAGCTGACGTTTCAATTACAGGACTTGAAACCGTGGCTCACATCTGTTGAACAGTCACTGAAGGAGACATTAGAGATCGAAGCCTCTCACCCCGAAAATCTCTCTGCTAAACAGATCCAACTTAGTCGCACAGAGCACGAATTACTCGCACGGCAGGCGGATTTAGCAAGCGTCATGTCAAGTGCTCAGAAGTTCCTCACCTGCTTGGAAAAGTATAACACAGCTAAGGTATCCTTTCTATTGGATTTTAGCCATGTTTGTGTCCCATGTGAATCATAATGTTCCCATTACTATCCCTTAATTATGCTACTAATTTGATTAATACAATGAGATAATGCACCTCAGTTTTCTCAATCGACTTCGAATTGTCTTATTTCAGTTGGAATACGCCAGTCTCACCGGTGCTAAACTTCCTCCCCCACAAACCACCGAAAGTGTTATTTCCGCTGTCGAAACGGCGGTGGAATGGACACAAAACAAGTTCAATAAGCTAGAGCATTCGGCGAGGGAGTACGCTTCTATATACTCCGATGCTGCGATGAGTTTCAATGAATTTACTATGGGGATTGCAAAATGTTGCGAATCTCTTGATGCAGCAGAAAAGGTCTTTTGGCAGTCCACTCGGAAACTTCTTGCCGCTGGTGTGGATGTTAACCCTCGGTGTGAGGCCAGTGCCCGTACACCCGTAAACCCGCAAATGATCACTAACCCCGTGCTTGTAAGGAATCAAGCCTCTTCAATTTTCGCTCTAAAGGGTGACATGTCACGTATCAAGTCAGGCCTTGAGGCAAGTCATACATTTTCATTCTCTTTGCTGAAAAGTGAAGTTTGGTTGACAACACATCACATAGCATATCCCGATGCAAAAGGCGGTAAACTACGATTAAATTAGTGTCAATGTTACTTAATTTAAGGGTTCTGCAAGTCTAGAGCGTAACACTACCATTTTCCAAAACTCTCTAGGCCTTAAAAATGCAAGCGGATGAGCTTTCAAACCGCAAACTGCCAGCTGTTTTGGTACCCTCTTCAACAATCAAAACTTGCATTAACGAACCACTGGAAAATGTAGAGGCTCGACTCTCCTACCTATCCAAAGAATTGGACTCTATGGAGAAAGAAATTAAATCAATTCTTGGTGTCATTAATGTTACTGATGATTCTCTGGCGGCTACATCGGCGTGGCTGGAAGATGCGATTGCTGGGGCAGAGGAAAAGAATGAATTAACCCTGTTGGAAGCTAGTAAAACAAATAACAAATTGCAGGCCGAATTGTCTGCTCATGAACCTGGACTCCAGGCCTTACTTGAATCGACTCAAGAAGAAGTAGAAAGGCTGGAGAAATTGGGAGAACGACAAGAGGAGATCGAAAAAGCGAAGGAGAAGGTTGTGACAGCAACAAAGCTGGTCGACAAGTGAGTTTAGCTCAAACATTAATTTTTTGTCACTCTGATGATGCGTATAAACTTTCGATCACAACTTCTATCCATTTTCAAGACAGGAATAGCCATGATGAAATGAACTTCGTGACACTTGTATGAACTCTGATGCTTAAATCACTAAAACAAACAACATAGTCGACCAGTCGGTTATTAAAAATAGTTTTAAAGCTTCTTCGTATTACAATGACTAAGGTGCACCATTGTTAACCTGATTTGTTGGGATTTGTTCTACTTCTAACATTGTTTTCAAAGGTGCGCTGAGCTGCGAAACAAGCTATCCCGCGACCAGATCCTATTGGATGAATTAGGGCGAAAGAGTCTGCTTCTCGACAGCATCTCAAAGAATATCAGCGTATTTGTGAATTCTGCACGATCTGACTTATCTGCCATTGCGGGTGGCCGAATAAACGAAGACGAAAGTAATGACCGATTGATGGAAACGGAGGTATATTATGATATTTAGGAATACCACTTTCACATTTTAATTGTTTCTATTATTTTAGTAACATGCATAGTTTGTTTGCAGGACACAAGAAACTCAAAGATAGCCGAATTGAACCAGCTCGAGGAGGTGATAAATAAACTAGCGTTGGAAACAAATGATTTGGGTCAAGAACCGGGCATTACCAGTGCCAAAGAGAAAATAGCTACCGCTCGAGCTGAACTTGTTAATCTTGATCAGTCAATCCGTCAGGCGCGTCAGATCTGCAAGGACCGTCTTCAGCGCACCAGTCAATTTGAAGCCAAACGTGGAAAACTGCTTGATTGGTTGCAGAGTCTTGAGAAACGTCTGGATACTGGCATCTTTACTGATCGTTCAACCATTGAGGATGTCTCACTTCGTGAACAATTGAAGGAGCTTGAAAAAATCGCTACTGAGTGTAATGTTCTGGAAAATGAAGTGGAATTGGCTTGTGGTCTCTTGAAGCCATCTGAAAGCTTAATCGACGACAAGTTGGTTCAGGGTAAAGTGAACTCTGGTCGTTAGTCTAAGTTGCTGAACTTTTTGACTTTACCTCTCATTTTGGATGTTCTGTAGATGCTGAAAGTTTGCGAAACGGTTGTGAGAGGCTCAAAGGTCGAGCTTGCTCCATGAAATCAGCTTCCACAAGCTCTTTGAGACGGCTAGAAACCTTTGCGAACGCATTTACGGAGGCAAATGCATGGTTGACCCAGCGACTCAATCAGATCACTCAACTCCAGCTTACGTCTGTGAATTGTCAAGAAATCCATAGTTTGAGGAAGAAGCTGGATAGGTAGAGTAACTCACTTTAGAACTCGTTTCTATCCGAATAGGATGGGAATTCGCACAAAGCTTAAAACTACATCTTTTTTCATAATTTGTGCGTTCAAGTTTTTAAATTGAAATTCCAGTTTATAAGCACTTCATATGAGTACAAATGAAAAGAAATGTTATCATTGTTACAGTCAGAGGCGGGTCTACATCTCCATTCATCTGTTCGTTGACTTTCTCCAGATTTAGAGATGAATTTGAAACTATGACTCCACGAATCGACGGTTTGAGAAGACTTGGAAATGAGCTTCTTAATCAAAAGGGAGCTGGAAGGGGCTCTGGTCGCATTCGCGATCAAATGAATAACATTGAAAAGAAGTGGCAGGCATTGGACGCTCTCTGCAAGCATAGAGTTGCAGAAATATCGGACACATATTCGCAGGCTCTTGCGCTCGAACAGTCCTATAACGACTTGGACACTCAACTTAGTCGACATTCACAAATGTTTGAGACTCTCTCCACGGTCTCCATCTCCAAGGATCAACTGCAGAACGTAGGTGTCGCCCGATAATTCAGATAAGTTCCCTCATCATCTTTAAATAATTAATCTTATTATCACTTTAGTTACTTTCTCTCCAATTTGGTTTGATTCAAACCAAACCAACGATTCAAACCTTTGAAGAAGCAGCAGGGAAATTCATCAACTCACTCTCGGTTACTACCGACGCGTCAGAGCTGTCAGCTCGTGTTAGTGGCTGTCGTTCACGTTTTGATGGTCTGATTGGCGCAATTGAGTCCCGATTGGAGACACTTCAGAGTGCCCTGTGCGCCAAACAAAGTGTCGCAACTTCAGAGAGACAAGATTTGGAGGAGTAGGTGTCGCTCTTTTCGATATTTACTCACCCAGTCGTCAAAATCTCATATTCTGGGCGGGTGTAATCATCTTTATCCTCATAACTAGTCTTGATCTTATTAATTTAAACCTACTTAACCATGTTTTGCTGCTTCTAAGGTTATGTACACCGTGCAACCGTAACTGTGCTCTTAAAATGAGATTTTCGTTATTTTAGCGCGGGTGAACGCGAGATACCAACGGAAGGAGAAACTGCAAACTCGGAGGAAGTTATCCTAGAGGAACCCAAGTTTGGTGAAAAAGTACATAGAATGTTCTTTTTCTTCTTTAAAATTTGTTTGTCAACATTTTCTACAGTCTCTTTTATTCTTTTTAGGCAAAAATCTCAAAAGATGAGCATATCTTACCGGCAGATGCGGTTGTAGGAGCTGAGCCAGATCTAATTAAGGGAACTCCAATTGAAGTGGATTCAACAATATGCAAAATTGATGATCTAAAGGACAGAATGGTGGCATTTCAGGTACTCGTTGCATTGTGTTCGTCTAGTCACATTAAAAGTGCTTCATTTTTCGTACAAATAATCAAGTAACCCGATGATTCCGAGACGACCTTCTTTTCAGGCTTGGCTAGATTTGGAGTCACAAGCTATTGAGTGTCCAGTCTTCGAGAATGGCTCGTATCCAGTGACTCGATCAGCGTTAACAAAGGCAATGCAACGAGTGGAAACATTCATGACGTTGATTGAATCGCGTGACAGACACCTGGCAAGTCTTCACGCCGACGCAGAGGTGTTGTGTCCGGATCTTTTACGTGATCTTGAGAAGTTTCAGGTCCTGTTGGATCAAATCAAAAGCCGATATACCAATAAAAGTGTAATTACTCGTTCCTATACGCTGCTTCATGTCTCGAAGTATTAATGGATTCAAGTAACCATTTCCATTTGTTGCAGGAGGCTCTTCAAGAAATTCTCGCCAAGAGTAAACCCATTGAGACGGAATTGCAAGCTCAACAGCTCACAATTGACGATCTAGAATCCCGCTTTCTCAAAAACCTAAGCTCTACGAGCAGATTAGAGTCCTTTCAACAGGATTTATCAAGCCATGAGTTTCCACGTCTTGACTCTTACATTTGTGATTTGGAACAAACTCTGTTAAGCCTTGGTGACGAGAGCTCCGGTCAGTCCATTCAACCTCTGCGACAGCAAGAAATCGAGTTGCGGCAGCGCTTGAAGTGCCTCAAATCTTCATTAAAACGAGCGGTTGAGGGTGGACAAGATGATCAAAAGGCGACCTCCAATCTTTTGACACGCACAGATCTCATCAAACGCCGTATGGATGAATTGGAGGCCCAACTTGAAGCTGCTGGCTCCGAAAACACTGTTCTAAATTTAGACACCCTTTCAAGCAGATTGGAAGATGTTACTAAGATTTCCGAAAAAGTAATTGGAAGTTTTGCTGTGTTTGACAAATTATTACAAAATATATTACATTTTTACATAAGTCGTCTTTGAAGCTTTTCTTAAAATGTATTTTTTGGCTCACTTAAAGTTGAACCAATGCAACGACGCGTTGAAGTCTCTTAAGGACGATACGAAGGACTTGGCGCCAGTCCCGCTGTTAGAGAGTCTTCTGAAGGATCTCAAGAAACAGTCCAGTCGTATTTCCCAGTCAGCGCACGAGGCTACCGAAAGGATCAACCAAAAAATTGAAGTAGCACAGCAACTCGCTGATCAACAAAAGCTTCTTTCAAGCAGTCTGTCGAATGCTCGCACCTCATCCCCCATTCAGCCACACAGGTGAGTGCCTACTGTCGCCACTTTGCATTATTGCTTAATAGCTAATTATTAAGCTTGTGTAGTAGAAGATTTATGCTTTCTTTGGACAGCAACCTAAACACCCTTTGAAATGGGTCTCAGTGTTGCGTTGTATTAAATGGGGCTAATTATTTGATGATTAATGAAAGGAATAATGGTGATATGTTACGCACTGGATGACTTCCTAGTAAGTTTTGAATGAGCAGAATTTTGGCTTTTTTAATGAATGGCATGAATGAAGTGAGTAGAGGATAATAGGAACACTGTATACGCTTCATAGCATCGTTTTATAACCAACAGACCTCTGCCAACGTCACAAAAATTGGAGGACTACGAGCACCAGTACTTGATGCCACTGAGAAATCAGTTGGAGCGACTTCAAAAGACCGGTGCAGTCCTAAGTGAAATGACTCAGCCAGGCCTTGGAAGGCGCGGACTTGAACAGGATCTAAACTCCACTAGGGCGACGGTTGAGAATCTCTTTGCTCTGGTTAGCACCGCGAAGGAACATGTTGGTGACACGTCCGTCTTCTTCACGGCACAGAACAACAGTGCTCGGCAATTAGAAAGCGTCATACAAAATGTAAGCTTTATTGGCTTGTCCGAAATGTTTGGCTGTGATTGGCGTTGAACTATTTTCATGGAATATGTTTACGTTAAGACGTCGGAGTAGGTGGGTCCAGACATTGAATTCATAATAAATTAGACTTAGTTACTGGAAGGTTCTCATTTCTGTATCTAATTTGTTGGAGGACTTTTATGTTCTTTTCATAACTTAAAATCGAGTGTTTTGAAAAGAGTAATTAAAAACAGCTAGTTTTAGTACTGCTATTCTTCGAAGACAGCGAACAACGTTCTGGTTCCATAAACGCCTAAGGAACACTTCATCCGATGTGAAATTTATTTTGTAGGTTCGCGATGAGTTAGCGGGACAAGGACTCCCGTCTCTAGTGGCAAATGTTGCACAGTTGGATGCAATACTGACCAAACTCATGTGTCTTCGAAACCTCCTTCAATCTCGCCGTGAAAGTCTGGAGCTTTTGGCTGAAGCTACAAATACTGAAGCTCATTCAGATAACGTAGCCAAGTTGATTGATGACTATCAAAATGTCTTTGATGAGGTTAATTTTCGAATTAACAAGGTGTCCGACGTTCTAGTCCGTCTGAGGGAATTCAACTCCCTCTACGAGTCCTACCTTGGATGGTTGGCAGATATTGAACTCAGATTCAACAAACTGCCGATCTTTCGAGATCCAGTCGTTACAAATGCCAACAGGGTTGCAGAGTTGAAAGTGCGTGGTGTTTCAATTATGTCCACTCAATTATCAGTCATTTACTTACAATTAAGTCCATCTTTCATTCAGAAATTGTCCCAAGACTGCATGAATGAAACCGATACCGTTATTCAGCTACAAACTCGTGGAACTGAGCTTTTAGGAATGTGTCCAGGTATGCTAAAGAATTAGTCCCTTTTTCAGTTTTTCCTTCGGATAAGTAAACAGAGGTTTTTGTGTTAAGATTCTAGTGCATCCGTGATAAAGGAGAAGATGGAACATGTTGGATCGTCATTCACTGAGCTGTTCGATAAGGTGAATAGCGCCTCCCAGGGTGTTGAATCTGCTCAATCAGCCATCAATCGCCTCCTGAAATCAAACGCCTATCTCACCGAAACACTTCCAAACTTGGAGTCAAGATTAAGAAATGGTGAAAGCTCAAAGATTATTGGAGATGAGCTGAATAATCAAATGAAACCGCATATAGACTTGTTGACAAGTGCTCTGGAAGAGATTCGAAAGAATTTACCTCATGCTCTTTTCTTGGATCTACCGTCCCAACGACACCCATTGACCATTGAAGAACTTGCTGCCGACAATATTTCCCGTTTTAATAACCTATACAGCGAGGTAACCCTCCTTCTTTCTTCTGTAGTTAATGTCACGCTAAACTTCCACATTCATGTTATTACCTTTTCCGTAGGCAATGGATGCATCACAGAAGGACCAAGTGCTAGAAATTCAGATCAAGAATGCTTACTTAAAATTAAAAGCAGATGAGGAGTGGTTGGAACAAGCGATGCGTCGTCTTGACCCCAAGATTCAAAGTCAACCATCCAGAGAGATCCTCTCGCTCAATGAAGATGACAATCCAGAGAACGCTTCTTACAGCCTTGCAGTGTTACCAGCTCGTGCAGAGCAAATAGATCGTCTAATTAGCGGCATAAATGCGTTCCGTTCTGAACTTTCGAAACGTCAATCAGACATTGAGGCCCATCTTGTGGAAGCGAAACGTCTACTGGACAAAATGCCTCATCGCAACACAGAGGAAGACCTGAGTCCAACTCTGGAAGGAATGGTTAAGCGGATTATACAACAAGACAAGGAGATCGACGCCCTACTTGACTCAGCAGATGCTCGATCTCAACAGGCATTGGCGCTTTCAAAAACCCTCTTCGAAAATCTAACAAAAGTGGACAATTGGATGACGTCAGCAGAAAGTGTGCTCGATCAACTTCCTGTGGCACCACTAGCTGTGGAAGAAGAATCCGATGCACTACGAAAATTGCATATTTCTGCAAAGGTATGTTTATTACATTGAAAAACTTTAAAGTTTTATCAAATACCAAAATAAAAATGCATTACTCAGAAGCGTGTGGGGCGTTGTAAAGTAGTGAATACAGCTTCTAGTATGCCGGACTTTTATGCACCTGTGATCTTTCGTTCTTCCTAGCGAAGAATTATAATGAACTAGCGTAATAAAATGTATCTGAAGCCTTATTTAATCATGTCACCCCACTTTTATGAGAAAGGGTAAAACATTTATTTCTGACTTGCCATATTGGCAATAATGCAATGTTAAGGGAAGTAAAGTAGTCCTCCCAGGGCGGCAACTCTGCTAATGATTATTCAAAGCGCTTGAGCACTGCAATTTGGGCACTCAATTATTCGTAATACCTTTCAATCCCGGTGATGGAGCGTCTCTGATTTCGTGTGGTTCTTGCAAGTGTTTAGAGTTTGAGATTGAATTTTGTAACATTTTAGAGTTTTATAAGAAATGCGCAATCGGTTTTCGTTTCAAACACCTATGAGTGTTGGCTTAGTTTAGCGTGCTCCACTTTGTACCTAATGGTAAATGTCTGATCCACAGCATCCCGCACCGACACTTTGAAGTTTGAATGCTTACTGGTTTCGGCTTAACTTTGTCTTATCATTGAGGCTGCAACTTTTCCCCTTTTCTTTTGGTACAGACACTAGAACGCGAATTAGATGGCTACAAAGTGATTCTTGAACAGGCTTCTAGCACTGCTGCCGCGCTTTCAGCACTAACAGCACCATCTGAGTCAACTAGTGTTGACACCAAAATCAAACAGAGCAGCTTACGATTTCGAAAACTCGCCAAACGAATTAGAAATCGGTCAATCGATCTTGAAGATGCAGTCACTAACTCCATTGACGTGAGTCCTCACTTCATTTGACTATTTTTTTAAAGAAACTAACTCTCATTGATATGGTTGTCGTCGACGTCATTAGTGGTGTGACAGACTAAAATAACATGACCTTATCTGCGGTTGCAAATGTCATTCTACAGATCCCCATTAAAATAGCTCCTCCGATGGTCAAAAAACCGCTGAACTTGAGTCATAAGAGCTGTCGATTATTTTGTTCATTCCCTAGGAAGTCAGTCCTTCCCCCTTTAATTGTTCGAAATTTCTGTTCTAGGTGAACGACAAACTAAATGTACTGAATGAGGTATTGAATGAAACGCGTGATCTGGCTGCTACAATAGGTGTGCGATTGGAACCACCGAGTCACGATCTGTCGCCCCCACGCATGCCCCCAGAATTCGATCTAAACATCCTCGCGCCCTCTGCCCACGTTCAGCAGCCCGTCAGTATGCGGACTGAGTACCTCGGTAGTCAGATCGCTGAAGGCAAAGCCATTCTTGACACACTGGAGCGTCGACTGCCGGCTTTAGTGGAACTGACTAGTTCTATCGAGGAATTTTTGTCGGCTCCCCGTTCAGAAATGTTTAGCACAGTTGAACGATCGCCACTTGCAGTCGGACTCGAGGACGAACCTGTAATCGATGTCAATGGTATGGAATTCTTTTTGTCAATGTTCATTTAAAAGACTATCATTTTTTTTCTTAGCTGCCAGCTCTTAAGCCCATCTCTGAGTTCCTAATGTGTTCATGGACACGAATTTCATTTAAAGTTTAAGTCTAGTAGTGAACTAAGTTAGAACAACATTAGCAAAGTAGTAATTTTTCATTATGGTTAGACCGTAAAGAGCGAGGTGTTTACTGTGCGCTTTTATTCGGTGGAAATTTTTTGATTAATCAATCCGAATGTCCTCACTTTTCAGCCATGTTTGGAGGCGAGAGTAAGTTTCTTTTACCAGAATCGGCAAGACTATTTGCCTTGATGTTTATTGTGCATGAAATCGGTGTCACATTATTGTTTTGCTCGGCCCCTATTTGCATGCTGTACTGAAATGTCTCCTAAGTCATTGTTTCCCTTTGGAATGAAATCGTATTCTTCATAACTTGCTTTTCAGTGTTAAATAGAGCCCAGTCTTTACAAAAAGAGTGGCTTCAACTACGTGCCAAGGTGTCGCAACGCCTCACCAGTCTAGTGGAGGCACATCGTCTGGCCTCTGAAGAGTTCTGGCTACCTTTATCGAATTTTCAAGGAAGTCTAATCGCACTACGACGCTCTATGGATGCTGTGGCATCTGGACATGTAGCTAGACTGCCTCTGGAACCGTCAACATACACCTCTCAAATTGAGGCGCTACAGGACATCCAAAAACAACACGAAGGTTCTAGTGAAAGACTGGACGCTTTACGAGGTGTTGGGAACAAAATAATCAATTTGTTGATTGATGAGAGGGCCAGAAGTGAGGAAGAGAAAAGTATATTGAAAAAGGAAATCAACAACGCCATTCGCGAGGTTTCAGCAATTGCACAAAATATTACGACTACATGTGAACAGCAACTCTTAGCGGCAAAGGATCACTTAGTCACGGCTCAAAAGCTTCAGGTAAGGTTCTCTGTCGTACTTAATGTGTCAACAACTTTAGACTGATCTGAATGTCTTTGTCGACCAACTTGAAAAAGCAAAAACTGAATTTGAGGCCTTTGAACCGGTTGCAAATACTATTGATGCAGTTTTAAAATTAATGGAACAGCTTGAAGAATGGAGTTCCTTGATTCCACCGAAACACGAACAACTGGAAAATTTGAACTGGGTTGCGGGTCAGTTGATGTCAGTAGCAGGAATTTCCGAAGGTTAGTTTTGAATCGCATGCAGTAGGTAGGAATCTGTTTGACCATTCAAGCCCGACAAGGTACTATTATCCTAATTAATGAAGGAAATGATACACACAATTTTCTACTCATCCAATGAGCAATGATGCACTAAGCGCACACATGACCGGCTCAGGTTACTCCACCCAATGGCAATGTTGTCAAAAAACTTCTGATTCTCGTAAAAACCTTTCAGCTCCGGAGCAGCCGCCTTCAAAGGTCAGTGGTGATATTGGAAAACGAGGAGCGCAAGTGCAACTGATGCTCACATCAGCAACCGCGCGATGGAATGAACTCAACGATGCAATTAATCGCCGTCGTCATGACCTGCAGACACAGCTGATGACACTTGGCGATTTCGACTCCGCTTTGGACGCTCTCATTCAGTGGATTAAAATGATGCAAGCCAATATTGACGGCATCTCAGTGTCACGGGGAGACAAAAAGTCTCTGGAATTTGAACTATCAAGAGCGAAGGTAAACAACTTAGCTATTCTCTTGAAGGTACCTTCACAAACCCTTACACAATCTTAAGCGAACTGTCCTATAAGTTACAATTTAAACTCTTTTTGGGGTTTGAGTCCCAGAACCCTTCTAGTGGAGGATGAATTATTTTAGTTGAAGTGGTTAAGTTCTAAATGCCATGCCATTATTACTATTATGTCTAGATAATCCAAACCAATGCAGCAAGACGGCAGCCAGACGTGGTTAAAATAAATCAGGAGGCAAAGGTTATGCAACAGGCACAAGTCTCAACGAAACTGACGCAGATGAATAGAGCTTGGGAGAAACTGAAACAATCCGTTCTGAGAAAACAGGCGAGACTGGATGAGGCACTTCGGGAGGCGAGTACCTCTTCCTTTGCTTTGAAGAAGAGAAAAGCCTAAATTCTGTCCACAGTTGTGATTTTTCGACACGTGCTTTCATTCTTATCGGCATAATTGTCTGCCAGTATTGTTAATTGCTGGTCGTTGTCCTTCGTAGGCTCAAAACTTCTACAGTCGGTTGGACGAACTCCGACGAGAATGTCGACGGCTTGAAGGAAAAATTTCGGCTCCCGGAGCTCGGCTCATTGGTGGTCTACCTGACAGCGCAAAGCAGAGCCTAAACCGATCCCTTCAATTGCACAATTCAGTGGAAAAGCTCGGAAAACAGGTGTGACACACAGTGTAAACAGTTTTAATCTGGTTCTTCGAAGTCACACTTCATTTCTAAAGTCATGCTGATATTTGGACATCATAAATGAAGATGAGAGTCCAATTTTCCTATTTAATGAGAATTCTTAAATTTTTTAACCAGATCGGAGATCTGCGTTCATCTTCAGCGGGTCTACTAGCTTCCGCCGGTAGTACACGCGATCATCTAGTGGGTCATCTTGACGGCTTGAGCCAGCAGCATGCGCAATTGGATGCACAGTCACAGGACCGCCTTAAGCAAGTACAGTTGGGTGTAGCAAAAGTTTCGGCTTTTCATAACGATCTCGGAGATTTTATTCAATGGCTTACACAAGCTGAGCGACGGATTAATCAAGCACCCAATATCTCATTTGTTCCATCCACACTCCAACTTCAACTTCCAACACAAATAGCGTTACGGCGCGAAATCGCTTCAAAGCGTGAAGCCGCTCTGACACCACTTGATCGAGCAGTTTTATTTATTGGATCGAATGCGTTGGAACAGGATGTGGTTCTCGTGAAAAACCTCCTAGCTAGTGCCCACTCAAGGTGGGAGAAGGTGTTCCAGAAAAGCGCTGACAGGAGCCGGCAGTTCGCCACTGCTTTAAAGGTGATCTTTCATCCCATTTGTGTCATTCTACTGGTAATACCTGGTCAACAAAGTCTATTACCGCTTTCCTGAGGCCCTCTTCTTAGGTGTTTTTTTAACTAATTGTTATGTTAAGGTCTGCACTTCAATTCTGCTCTTGAGGTGAGTTTTTACCAAACTTGTCCCTGTTTAGTTGAGATTAGTGGTATACAAGGAATTTACTATTACAAGAGTCACTGACCAGACTGTAGAGTTCAGATGTAATTTCCACATTATAGATTGCTTATTTTACGATTTTATTCCCAAGGTCGCTTTTAAGTGCCTAGAGGAGTCTGTATTTCCCTCCTTGCTGATGAACCCTCAATGTCTTATTCAACTGACCGGTCTTTGCGTAATGGTTCTGCCAAGCTTAGGTAGAGGCTTCTTAATTCCAAATCTGACTAACAGGAAGAGTTAACGGGTAGTCCTGCATTTCTTGACACTGCGTGTTAGAAATTAGTGCTTCACTTTCAATTAATTTAATCGACAAGTTCGATGTATTTTACTGAGCTAAAGCCCAGCATACAGGAAATGCGGATTCATTCAAGCGATCCACTAATATTCTCATAGTTTACATCCATTTATGTCATTTTCTCTGCAATTTCGTATACAGGAATCACAAAAATTGGTATCAGCTTGGAAAGAGCTAACAGACTGGCTGAAAGAGAAACTGAACACGAGTTTGCAAGAAAGTACTTGGTGCTCGGTAAGTACCCAACCCAATGTTCTTCTGCGTGAACTGAATCAGCATCGCGAGTTCCAGCGTGAACTGGGTGCTCACAGTGCCTCCTACGACTCGGTAAGGCGACACCTCATCAAGGTGAAGGATAAGGCACCCCGGGACGACCTAATTGAATTGAACCGCATGTTGAGTGAATTGAAGTACTTCTGGAACGCAGTTTGTAACAAGTCTCTTGAAAAGTGCGTAAAAATTGGCCAATTTCTGAGAGGAATTGCATCGTAAAAGTGTTTTGAACTCTCTTCTCTTTGGTGTCTTTCAGACAAAAGGTCCTTGAAGAGGCTCTATTGCGTTCGGGTCAGTACAAAGATGCATTTGTTTCGCTTCTTGAATGGATAAACAAAATTGACAGTCTTCTAGACGATAACGAGAAGAAAGGATGTGCTGGAGATGTTGAAACTGTAAAGGTGAGGGAGTAGGCGGAAGTTCTTCAGTTGCGGTGGCGTCTAGTTTTCCACATTCTCATTGTATTGCTAATTCATTCTGCATGTAGTACCTTTGAAGTAGTTTTAAATCACCGTTTGCTACCTATTCAGCAACTGGAAGAAGTCCACCGAAACTTGTTAGATCAGCTACAGGAAAGGGAGACCTCGGTGATAAAATTACAGACTGCGGCATCCCAACTGCTAACCAAATGTAGACCGGAAGGAAGCAGTGACGCTGCTGAATTGACTGATTCCCTCGTAATGCAAGAGCAACTGGCAGGGCTCAACGCTCAGTGGACAAAGGTTCAGCTCAAAGCCAAAGCACGCTCCGACAATCTTAAATTGGCTCATAAGATCGTGAGTTTATGATGTTAAGATGCTTGAACAAGATAAAGCCAATTATGAATATTCTGCTCCTGTCAAACATTCTTGAGAATGAAACAATATAGGGGCAAAAACCGTTGTTAAATTTTGTTTCCTGCGGATTTATCGGGACTATGAATCTTTGAAAGACACTATTTTGGATTGATGTCTATTGGATGTCAAAATAATGCCTCGTCAAGAAAGTGCAACACCATGACAATGTATATATGCACGCAACAGTTGGGGAAACTTAATAGCATATGCGTAGGATGCTATTTTTCTGAAGAAAATGACAGGTTTTAGTGGGTGGGAAATGCGTGTATCGAACAAAATTAATGATGCACTTGTATTGAAAAAACAGAACAAACTAGTATGTGGCCACATGCGCATTAAGATAATAGCTAGTTGCATGTGTTATTTTCTTTTTCTTAACTCTCTCTAGGCTGAGGAGTTTCAAAGATCCTGCCAAGACGTCTTTGATTACTGTGCAGGAGCGGAGTACACATTGCGTAAGGTTAGCGCTCTCCCTGAAGGTGACGATCCTCGTGTAATGGATTCCACAGATCCGCTTGTTGAGGAGAAATTGGCGAACGCCGAGGTGGCTGCGATAACCTCAGGAATGGCTGCTCAAGAGTCCCGCGTGTGTGACTGCCTGGCTCGGGGAAATAGAATTCTTGCAGAGTGCAAAAACAATCCAAATGGCGCTTCTCGAATTCGCCAGTGGATGAACGCCGTGAACACGCGATGGGAGGAAGTGAGTGTCTTGTCTCTAGTCTATTTTTACCTCTTCCACCTGTGCATTTCTGACTGGAATATTTCTGGTTCGTAGATGCTAGACTGGTCACAGAAACGGGAAGCGAAATTGGCGCAGCTGTCGAAAGATCAGCGAGAGCGTAGATTAACTCTAGACGCACTAATAAGCTGGCTCAACACTACAGAGGTCATTTTATGCTCTGATCGTATGTATGTTCAGCCGACAATTTCTATGGGCCCACTTTCAATTGAAGTCACATCAGAGATCTCCTCTGGTTCCTCCAGTCGTATTGAGAGTGGTTCAATTGGATTTGAGATTGATACGTCCCAAGTGGAGCGGCTGCTAGCAGAGGTTGGTCAAATTGAAGCCGAGCTGGAAAAACGACGCTCTCAACGAGATGAAGTACTTCGACATGCGCGCAAATCTGCTGTTGATAGGAAACGGCAAGTTGGTAGCAGGGGCAAGGCTTTGGAGCACCCACCAGGAGACTATGGACACGGTTACGCAAGCGTAAGGGTGAATGAGATGTGTGAAAAGTGGGACAGAGTGGTGCGGATCGTGAAAGCACGCCAACTAGCACTGGAAGAAAGACTGGCACATGCAAACGAGGTGGAAAAACTGAAGACCTTTGATTTTGACAATTGGAGACGTCGTTACCTGAATTGGATGAATAGCAAGAAAGCACGTCTTATTGATATGTTCCATCGTTATGACCTGGATCGTGACGGACGTCTTTCACGGGATGAATTTGTGAATGCCATACTGAAATCTAGTAAATACCACTTTACTTTCCACCTTTTAGCAGTTATTTATTATTTTAACCGCTTGAATCTCCCTATTTCTAGAATTCCCAACATCTAGACTAGAAATGGAGGTCGTGGCAAACATAGTAGATGCAAACGGTGACGGATACATCGACATGAAGAAGTTTAACACCGCGCTGCGTTCTGCCACGGTGCCGAAATCGCATCATTTGGACCTGTCGAAAATCGAAGGAAGTGCCATTGAGCATGAAGCTAAACACCAAACCAGTTTGTGCACCTGTCATAATACTTACCGCATCAGTAAAATCAACGGCAACATGTACAAGGTGAATTTCACTGCCTCAACCACGCTTGTTTATTTATTAAGATTAGGATTGTGTCATTTGTTTTTTTTCCGTTGCCAGTTTGGTGACTCCCAGAAACTGAGACTGGTGCGAATTTTGCGAAGCAATGTGATGGTTCGGGTGGGTGGTGGATGGACGCCACTGACGGAGTTCCTGGTGAAGAATGATCCTTGTCGAGGTAAACATAAGTGGAGACTTTCCTCTCGCCCAGGTCCATTGTAATGGACTACTATAAGTACTGTCAACTTTATGTTTGGCCGTGGGTTCGATCGGTTGCAGTGTTTATCAGGGATTTATGGGTAATCTAGTGCTAAAAGTGTACACGCTCTGATGCGAGTCGTTACTCAGCGTTATAGTGTCTGAGTGATGGCTCTGATGGATGGAACGGGCCTTTACACTGTTAGTCTCATCTTTCACCACATTGTTAATTTCTGCTTGCTATAGTCTGTTTCTATACGGATGAGGAGACAGAACGAGGAAAACTGTGTAAGTTGTGCTGAAATGGGAAAATTGGCTTTATTTTGTCATTTAACCCTCATCACACTGCATAAATTTGCATTGCGGTGTGGAACACTTAACTGACCTCGTTTTCACTCCATTTTGAGCAAATTTAACTACTACCACTACTTTTGCTTTTCTCAAACTTTTTGCTATTAGCAAAGATAGTGATTTTCTGTTTTGTTGAAAGTAATCAAAATCGTGTCAACAAGTCCCATGCAATGCTCATTTCCGATGAGGTTGAGCCCTTTCTTTTACCTTCTGCTCAACTATTCCTGGATATTTGGCCATGGTGAAACCCACCGAAACAGATTTTGCTACGCTGGATGAGTCACATTCCATTGATGTTGCGATGGGTGCGCGATTTGCTTCTAAAAGGTCTTTCGCTTCTGTCCGTTGAAAAACGTTGGACACACCACTTCATGCGCAGATAAGACTGATAGTCATGTTATGGTGACAAAGAGAAAGATAAGGTGATAGCAACCGGACTAAAGTATGATGGATAATCGGGGTGCAGAAATCGAACCTTATTCATTTATTAAATGAGAGGTATTTACACTTCTTTCAATCAGCTCACGGTGACGCACTGTCAAGCTTGGCAGACATGGCAGCAGTGGCCTCTACAAGTCCCACCGAGGATGTAAATGCACCTCGAGAGCTGAAGCTCATTCCGAAGCACCTGGCTGCCTCTCTGCCACAACTCACTCCTAGTTTGAGTGGACCGAGACGAAGCCACTGGTGTCGCAGGGATGATCAAGACTTAAATGAAACCTCTAGGAGTGGAGAATTCTACATCGTGATGCCACAAACCATTTCAATGACAAACACTGAGACTTCCACGAGATCCCCTCCTCGTGGGGGACGAAGTTTGCAAACTATGATCATTGGACGTCCGAAAAAGCAGAAGACCCACTCAATTAAATCAGATTCCTCCAGCACTTCGACAAGACCGAGCATCTCTTCCAGCAGACGTGGTGGCAAGTACTAATGCTTGCCAACTCCTGCGTCCTTTTCACCTATGCATCCATACACTTTCAATTTCACATAGACTTGTAAATGGTGAGGAAACACTGCATGCTAGTGTAGAGTTATGTTGTTGGGCATGTTCTGCATGGTTTAGCTACGGCTCATCACAAAGTTGTTTAACGCTGCATGCAGCCTTTCCCAAGCTGATCCGCCTGTGCGCTTTTCCGCCTATAGCCGAAACGTACATTTGTCCGTTTTTTTTTCATTAGCTGCATTTTGGACGGGTAGTGAGTCAGCCCGCAAAGACGCTGGCTTTCCGGAGGATCAGACTCATATGATGCTTAAATTCCATCCACGTTTTCGAGATGGCAGCTCGGCTTCTGTCACTTGTACAGACCCCATTTGCAGTAGACAGGTGGGTAACATCTCATTGTCCCCGTTGAAGCGATCCAATCCTCGACATGCAAGTATGTCTTGTGGCATACCTTACAAATGTACCTCTCCAGCACCAACGCGTCGAATGGATCACCTTAACAAGAAAGATGGGCGTCGGGTTCCGGTTAGAACCAGTCTTCCAATTGTTGGTATGTTTAAGGAGCTTTAGGTGGCTAAGCTAATACGTTTGCTTATTGCACAAAGGTTGTCCAAGTACAATACTAGATTTGAAGCGTATCAGCAGCGACAATCTTATCCCAAAGGTTCTATGCTAACAACTTACAATAAAGTCTTGAGTTGGACAACGCTGGCGTGGTACCTGAATAAGTAGCCGGTTTAAAAGCTGTAGAGGTTGATAGAAACAGAAACTGTTCTCAGGTACGCCTAATCACAGTGTGGCAATAAAATTCCATGGAAAACTTATCTCATAGCTAGACCGAGACGTGGAAATTTTGTCGAGCCATTTCTTATTGTAGTGTGCAGAGACATTCCCTTGCGTTGTACCGATTGTTTCCTAAAATTTGATAGTTTCAAATCGATTCATTACTTTATGCACTTCCTTTAGCTAATGTGTTTCTAAAATTAAAAATTTATTCATTCTGTATTGAGATGCTATTGCGATTATAAAAATGTTATCAAAGTCGGGAAAAACTGTAACACTGCTGGGTTTTTTTGCTTTGATATTAGCCTCCCACAGAAAAGCGAACTCCCTAGTCTCGTTTCGACAAAGTTCGCTTTCCTCATCCGCTCATTCTCTACCGATGGTTGATCAAACTGCTCCCAATGGAAGCCATCCTTCCCTTTATACTGAACCAGTTGAATTAGCAACTGAAGCCAATGTCCTTCCAACCTCCCTCAGCAGTAGCCTTTCAGAACTCCCCGAAGATAGAAAAGATCCCTCACTTGAGTCCGACGTAAACGTCACCGAGCTGAGCCCAGCTGACGAAATGATATCCCACTCAGTAGAAATTGGGGATCAACCACAAGTTGGTACTGGTCATCTATCGTCAATTTTGGAGCATTATGAAGGCGACGTTTCTAAACCAACATCTTTGCCGAAGACGGAAGAGATGGAACCAGATTCAACTACTAGTGCATGTTCTCCTATTACTCAGACAAACCTGCAGTTTCCGTTGTCAAAGTTAGAAACACACAAAATGCGTCCGAAACTGTCGTCTGAAAAAGATCAAGTCCTGTAATGAAAACTGCCAAAATAATCCCTTCTCCAACAGATCCACAAGATTTCATCAACCATGTAACAGAATCGCACTCAGAGACCGCAATATCACAAGGTGGAATATTTTCTGGCTCTTTTGATAGACTTCAAGGAGAACTCCAGCTTTTTTATTTCTGTCAAAGAAGGCTCTACTAACACAGAACTTGTACTTTCCCCAAAAGCGAAGTAAAGTTGCCAGTTCTTTTGCTATCGTCACCAGACGGATGCATTGAAGAAAGTAAACGTATAAGTTTATCGTGAAAATGATCACAATTTGTGAGTCCTTAATCTCCTTTACACAACCTGCTATCTAGTCTGATTAAGGCAGACAAACGAAGATTAAAAGGAGAAGAGATCGGTTCTTTCCCACTGTATGCATATCAGCCAAGTTAACATGCTCACACAAATAGAGCAAATTGTACATCCACCTCTTCCATCCCTAACCCTCTTCCATTCCATCTTTCCTTTGGCCAAATGATCTAGTCACTTTGGTTGTCGTCACTTATTGAGTTCCTACTCCCATGCTTTCTTTGGCTCATTTGACCAACTTTTGACTTTGATTTTACTCTCTCTTTTTCATGTTTCATGATTTTAATTTCTGATGTGGAGCCATAAATTGCCAAAACATGTGCCCTTTTGTATTTTGAATTTCTTTTCAAGTGTTTGGAAATGGTTGTGGCTTGATTGGGACGATGTAGGACTTAAAATTACGTGCAGATTATAACTACGACGGTCTTACCAGGAAACATAAATACACTTTTCAACGAAAAATTTGGCTAAAACATGTAGATCATTGACTCAAATGTATCAATCCATCATAAGTGTATTGTGATGGCGCAGTCTTGAGGCATCTTTATAGGCAGAAAATGGGATGGCACTCCAGTCGGAAGCGTAGGTTTAGACAAAAAGAAAAGAGTTGGACTTTTGGCGTACTTCCAGAACCGTTCCTGTAATACTTTGTGTGACTACCTGATGTCTGGCAACTACCTTAAGATTGATCTAAGCCTTGTACGTTGGGCCGACCTTTGAAACAAGCTCAGACTTGACCTCTTTGCCCTCAACGAATACACATATTCGGATCCATTTGACGCCTTGTTTTATCCGGTGGGAGGTCTCAGGAAGCTATAAGCCCACTCGAGTTAGTCAAAAGACAAGGCATTCCAGTAAAGGTTGGAAGAGAACCATATTTTTATGATGATTTGTGCGTTAGCGAAATGGTTTGTACTTTTAATTTGGGGAGTAAAATGTCAAACCATCTTAATCATGCTCAGGTAATGGTACTCGAAGATGATCTGCAATGTGATTACAAAACTTAGGTAAACTCAATAAGAGTTAAAGATCTATAGGCTAAAACTGCAAATTTAGGGTCATTTTTTAGATGAATTCCGAACCTTTAATTTTAAACTTATCTTTAACCTTCCTGTTCTGAATCATCTAATTTGCATTGTTAAATTCATCCTCCGTGCTTTGCCCTAAAAATTTTAAAGTGTATTTCGTTCCAAAGATTCTATAAAATTAGCAGTAATTATAGTTTTATATGGCAATGGATCTTGTTTAAAAGAGCTGATAGATAAGCGTATTTTTTAACTCGTGAGGGTCCGGGTGCAGACTCACGGGGTATGTCGTTGTACATGCGGTTTTCACTTGTCTTATGGCTCACATCAAATTGTACTGTTCAATTATCGCTCCTTGTATTTGAATCCATTCTTAGTAGCTATCAAATATTACTAACGTTTCTCCATTTGCCTCCTTTGCGTCGTAAGTTTTTCTCCATTTCCTCGAAACTGTTTATCTCTTGATATCCTCATCCTTCTCAGTCAAAAATTTTGCCTTTGATATCTTTTTGCAAGTCCCTTACCCTGTTCTATGTCCATAACTCCGCGAAAACCCTGTTTTGTTTGCAGTCGTCTTACTTTAAAATTTTTCACAACAACATTCAAGCGTCTGTGTGTTATTACCTGGCGTGATGTATTGATATTCAGTTGCCGTAGGATTTTAATGCTTTTTTTCGGATTGGAAAGCACATACTTTTATCTTCAACTATTAATTGCAGCTGAATCTACGCCATTTCTAATGGAGTGGTTGATGGGCAAGGCTCGGGGCGTCAGTCGTGGACTGATAAGTGGTTCAGTGTCATATCCGAACTCTGCCACTGCTGTCATCTCAACTACCACCACACCGACTCCCTCCGATGTACATTCTCCCTCTTCGCCTTCCCCGCCCTCACCACCTCCTTACCTCAAACCCTCTTTCCTGCGTCAGCAACTCTCCCTTGCCGCCGCCGGTAACACTCCTGTTGATTTTCCTTTCCTTGTGGAGCCCGAGCATCCTTTGGAAGAGGATGAATGGATAGCTGTCCACACAATTGGTTTAGTTGAGAACCTCTGTAGCATTTTTGACCCCCTCTACGAGGTTTGTCTGTGTCGTGGAGGTGGGAATAATAGCCCCTCTAAAGCTGTCGACGATGCAAGTTTCGCCGATTTTTTTACACAAACGAAGAAACCCGTGCGCCAGGTGATCAGTCTTATACTTTCTGAGTGTAATGATGCGATACAATCGGCTCGAATATTTCCCGTTAGACAAGGCCAGGCCTTTTCACCCTCCGCTTTGCGCGAAGAGGCTGCTCGCATTTGCCGCAAATTGCTTCTCTGCTTGGTGCACATATACACTGCTCACGTGAGTCACTTGGAGCAGTTGGATCTAGTGGCTCACATGAATACCATTGCGAAGCATTTCTTTGCATTCACCTCACGATTCAATTTGATTGATGAAGATGACAACAGGGCATTGGCTGCTCTTCAGGGCTTTCATCGGCGCTTGTTGGAAACACCTGCACCTAATGTGGTTATTCCGGTGAATTTGGTGCCACTAACGTCGACGGCGGCAGTAACTTCCGATACTAGTGCGGCCCCTCCATCCCCGATGTCCTCCATTGCTCCTGTGCCATCTATTTTACCGGTTGTCATGACCGCTTCAATGCAAGAGCAGGCTGCCAGTCACTAACCCCATTGCAGTTCCTTTATTCGCGCATTTCGGCCCTTGGGTATTTTAAACGTGCATTCTATTTCTTTTCTCGCTGTGGTTGAATTATAAACATGACATTTATACTTTCATATTTGAGTCGCATTAACTGCAGGAAGGCAGCGTAGCGTTGTGAAGCTCACAGAGATATGGTGTTAAATTTATCACTTGCTAAATGCCTTTGAAGTTTTGCCGCTGTACTAACATTGGCCAGAAGTAGAATGTTGCGTCCACAGGTGCTATTGTTTAACTATGGTGATAAATTGGGAGTGAGAAACTGCTACTTTTGGGCTTGAGTAGCGCTACTCACAACCATACGAAAATACGTGGAAACGGTGACACTACCGCATTCTAGTGGCTAAGTGGTAGTAATTCGGGTGTGTGGGGAATTGGGTCTCGTGTTCGCTTTCCTCCTTTGTCAATTGCGGTTATTCAACATCTGCGTGGTACCTCAGTGAGTGACCGCTCCTGCTCTATTGATGGGAGGAGTGTCTCCATACCATTGGGTTTGTGGATAGGGTCAAAGCAGATCGGAATATGCTGTGAGGGCAAAACGACAACGCTTTAGAGTTGTTCCTGTGTATTTATAAGAAACGGCAAAATGGGGATATAAGGTGGAAGTTGATTTTCGTAAATCATGCCATACTTGCATCAATCCATCTCGCGCGTTCGCATATTACCTTGCGTGTATCTTCAGAATCTTTTGGTGAAGTTGGCAGGTTCCACATTCCAATAGTGAGTGCTTACGATTGGTATCACCTGTTGAGAAATTATGCAGTCACGCACCTCCCATGACCGTCATACACTTCAGTGACAGCGACAGTAACATTAAAACTTTTGCTTCACTTTTGATAGATCACCGACATCAAACGTTTGCTGCTACATTCACGACAAATAACATGACAAAAGCTGTGTTTCCCTATTGTTAAGTCTAAGAGACCGATATTTTAGACGCGATGCACCTAGAGTGGTGCTTAGTAGAGTTAATCAGTCTCTCCAGTACAACGCCCGCTTTCATACCGTGCTCCTGACCTACAAGGTCGACAAAAACAATAACACCAACGTATTTCAAAGTCGAAAATGATCAGCATATGACATTAAATTCGCTTGCCGCAGTCCCTGTTGAACCGATGAGTGAACATAATTACATTGCCTGAGACTTACCACTAGGTGGAAGAAGGCGTTAAATTGAGTTAATTGAACGTATTTTAGGAGGAGAAGAAGGAATAAGGCTTTAACTTGGTCCGGATGTCAGTCCGCTCGTACAATGGCAAGACGAATCTCAAAGTCATTGCCGCGAGGTAATGCAGGTATAAATCTTATCTCAGAAATAGAAGAATGCTCCAAGGTGCTCGCCAAACTAGCATCTCTACAGAAGGGCTTCCAGAAATCTAAGGAGATCAATGGGGAGTTTGTGGAGACTTTTCAGCTACTGGCCAAATGAACCCTCAAAGATAGCTGTCCTCGTCGTGTTGCTTCATGGTTCATATGAGAGCAAGCAGACTAAGCCACCTCTTTGCGTGACAGCCGGCCAACCCCTTAAAGGCAAAGTCGTGCGAATCCAATCGGTTCCTTAAGAGAAAGTAAGCCACAGTTCTCGTCTTGCCTGCTTCCTTCACATTTCCTTACTTTATGCGGGTACGGGGCAAAATTGAAGGTCATGCATGCACTTTCCTTCTAGACACCGAGGCAGCTTGTTCTTTAATAAACACACAGGCCTTCCCGATAGTTTGTAACAAGGTTAATATCGTTGTGTCGGCTACTAAACCACGATCTGCAGGAAGAGGTGGATTTTGGGCCATGTCCAAAACTTGTCTGAGACTACTATTAAAAGCCGACTTAAATGCCAAGCATGTTTACAATCCGTTTAAGGTCTAAGAAGAAGGTACCTACCCCTAAGCCAAGGAAAGATGCAGACGACATATGCAGGTCCCTTTATGCTGTCCTAACCGTCACTGGGACCAATCAAAGTGACGTCTTCTGTCAACTAAAACAATGTTACCGATGGTGAGAGGAAGGAATTGCACTCGCTCCTGATGAATTACATATGTTCTCCTGGGCAGAGGAACATAAACACACGATTGGTACCCGTGTGGCGACCACCTAAACGCACACCACCGCCCCCCTCTCCGAGGCGAAGTACATCGATTGATTGACAAGAGGCTGAGTGACAACGTAATCAGGTCCTACAACTACCCCTGTACCTCTCCCATCACAATAGTGATAAAGAGCGACTGCGGCCTACCCCTATGCGTCGGCTGTAGGAGGCTCAATGAAGTATCAAAAGAAGGATGCGTTTCCCCTACCGCACGTTAACGACTTATTGAACTCTCCACAAGGAGTTAAGTGGTTCTCGACGTGGAGATAGCGGAGAGAGCTGAAGAAAAAACGACCTTCATTGTACCATATGGACTCCTCAGGCTCCAAACTACGCCTTTGTGACTTGGCAACGCAGCGGCGACCTTCCAGCGAATCATGCAGAATGCTATGGGCGGTCTATTTCCGAATCAGCATTATCTGGACGAGATCCTCGTTTTAGAGGCGAACATCCAGCAAACACCGCTCCAACCTCTGATTAATGCCGGAACGCCTTAGGGAAGCAAGTTTGACGCTAAAATCTAAAGAAATGCAGTTTTTTTTAAATTTAATCACTTGCCGACGACATTATTTCTGCCAATGGCATGGCAGTCATGGAAGACCGACCAAGACAAGTGAGAACGTGGCCAACACCTACCAACCAAACGGAACTTCGCAGCTTCCTTGATTGGCTAACTATTGTCGGCGCTTCGTAAAAGGTTTTGCCGAGGTCTCAAGACCTCTATACAGACTAACCGATAAACAGGCGAAAAAGGAGTTTCGTTGGAAGGACGAATGCACAGAAGCGTTTAAGGAGCTGAAGTGTGCCCTCTACGTGGCACCGATCTTGACATTGCCCAATTTTTGATGCTGAGTCTCCACCTTTCGTGCTGGACACAGGCACAAACGACTTAGCGGTGGACGGAGTTCTATCCGAAAAGACAAAGACGGGAGAGAGCATGTGATTGCGTACGCCAGCTCAGGTCAGAGCAAAAAGATAAGATTAATGAATGCAACAGAACGAAAACTGTCCGTCATCTATCCAACAATTAGGCATCTTAAGCGCCATTTGATAGGAAAGCAATTCGTTGTGAGGACTGAATCTCTAGCGCTAACATGGTTAAAGATGATGAGGGAAATCGACCGCCCCGTTGCGAGGTGGTATGAAGAACTCTGTAATATGGTTTTATCGTACAGTAAACGGAAGGAAGCGCTCACAGCAATGTAGATGCCCTATCGCGCCTTATCGCGTTCACGGATAAAGTCACATTATGCACGATGCTATTGAGCAAGCCTACTAACTCTCACTGGAGAAACACGCGAAGCTCAGATCCCTATACAGACCTAGCACATGGACCTGCCAAAGTGGTGTGCCTGATTTTGGGCATAGCAACCAAGGACCGAACTTTGAAAGTCGTTTCTTCAAAAAGTTGTGCAAAACCTTTAGAGTTCGTAAAACACATACGACGCCAGGTCACCCACAGGGCAATAGGTGAATAGAAAGGACGAATCGTACACTTGTGGACCTATTGAAGGCCTTTACCAATGGAGTGCAACTTGGGGAATGGGATCTACACCTAGGACACGTCCTCCTTGCCCACTGAGCGTCCGCCCACACCCCGACTGGGGTGTCACCTTCAAGATATTCACGATCCGTGAATAAGAGGTTCCTTCTGACATCTCTCCTCCTTGTAAGAAACTGTCAGTAGATAACGCGGCTAAAGGAAACCTCAGGAGAGAATATAGCGTCGAGTGCATACAACCGCAGACGGCACATACCAGACGAAAGAGGTCCCTACGGTAGACGGATCTTAAAAAATGTATTTTATGCGTTAGAGCTCATGCAATTCCTCCACCAGGAACCCATTAGAACTTCCACCATTCCTGGGGCAAGGAAATCTACGGCGTAACCAGAGTTCTGTTACCCACAAACTACCTCATTCAGAATGCGGGAATTTGCATCCAGCGCCCACCCGTACATCATAATAAGATTAGGCCATATGCAGGTTGACTCCGATAGATTAAGTAGACGAAGTCTATGCGTTGGCAAAAGAAGAGAGGCCACCTGACGGAACTTCAACTGTCATTACCGGAGAAGGTGCTTGTAAAACTAGGGGGCTGTGCAACCTGCGCCAATGTGTATAGGATGTCTTTGTAAAGGGGAGGCGCTTAAGTACTTCAAAAACGAATTCAATTTTTGAGGAGCGCGAAGAAATATCTAAAGAGTGGCGTTGGTGTTCGTCTCATCAACACCCTCCTTTCTCTTTTCTGTATCAGATGCAAACAAATCTTTTATGAAGTTGGAGGTTTACAGGGCTGAGAGTAGGCAGGGATGTCCTACATCTACAGATATCAGTTGGTTACATAAATAGCATTAAAATAATGGGAGGTTACTTAATTAGGGAAGCAGGAAATCTTGAATTACCCAAGCCAAACATGTTATAGTGTGCATTGTTATCATTAATTGGGTCAAACTTTTCCAAAATTATGGATGATTGCTCAAAAATATTTGAGACTACTGAAGATTCTGTTTTGTTTCCTTAAAGATAAATTTACTCGCTTGCATGTACTAGGCCTAGTTAAGTTCAAAACGTTTTTGAAGGTGACCATTGATTTTTAAACATGTGCATGGACATGGAATTTGTGAGTTGATTACTTGGTATTTTGTTTTTTTGTGCTGTGAGTAGATGACCATTTTTCGTTTTTCCGCCCGGTACCTTTTTGATTCCTAGCCTGGGTTTGCGATTATGTCTATCAATACAGCTCACACTCACGACGGATTAGGAGTGGTGCTATTTTATGGAGAGAGGTAGGCCTATTATCCAGTGCTCCAGTTTCAGACTTCTTGTCACATATGACGGGTGTAAGCTTACTCTTTCTGGTTCGGGTCAACAACCAAATGGAAGATACTCGGGAACTGCATACCTTACATCGCATCGAGTAACTGAGTCCTTGCTTTTTCTACAGATTAGGTGATATTCCTCTCTAAAGACAAAAGTCCCGCCCTTAATTCGCTGAGCATGCCATTTGTCTACATGAAACGTGTGGCAATCAAACAACCCACATTTGGACCTAACCACATTGAAGGATTCGTGTCTCCTGAGTCAGGGCAGTGGTCGGTAAGCTAATAATTTCCATGTTGTTGGCGTTTGTGACCAAGTTTACTAACTCGGTTCTTCTTCTAGGGAGATCTGCCTTTTAAATTGGTGTTTAACCATGGGGGAGCAATTGAATTCGGAAAAAGTCTTCTTGAGCTTGGTACTCGAGCTTCTAAACTTCGGGAATCTTACAAGACTCCGACTGCACCACCACTTTGCGAAATTTATGCCTGTCCTCCTCCAGCCTACACGCCTTTCGTGAACGATCCCTACTACAATTCATTCATGCAACCTCATCCTTCCTTCTCTCCTCCACCAGGTTCGTTTGACTTCCGTAAATGATGATACATACAGGTGCATGAAACGTATCCTCTCTTCGCAGTAGATTTCCTGTACCAGACGAACTCTCCACCTCCCTATCCTGGAGCTGTTCCTCCGCCATACACGCCGAATTCGGGTCCACCTCCACCTTACGCTGCGGCTGCAGCGGGTTCGATACCGCCATATCCGACTGGTGGCCCGCCACCTGGTAGGTCTGGTTACTTGTTATTGTAAAAGTTGGAGGGGAGTTGTAGCAACACTCTGGCACTATTGAATTATGGTCTTACCACTCTACTAGTTCTTTGGAGGCTCTTTAAATTTTTTCATATCAAATGAGCATATCTTGAATGGCGAACCAAAGTTCTTTTTGCCTTGTGTTTTATCATTTGCTCCATTTCATGCATTGCCTGTGACTTCAGGTTGATCACTTGAGTGAGCATTTTTTCCGCTCCTAATTCTTTTCAATAAAGATGGACCAGGTTTTGGGCTATGGTTTCGAAACTTCACAAGCTCTGATGTTTATTGATTAAGCGTTATCTTCTGACCACTTGTAGGTGGCTGTGATTGACTTCTGCGGTATGTAGCGAATCAGCTGTCGTAGTAGTAGTTGTTGTCATTAATTTCGTGTGCTTTTTCGTATTGAGTACCACGGTAGTTTTACGGATATTCCGAATGCATTCGTGGTAGCTTGGCGGTTCTTCGTTGGTTGATGCATATAAACTAATCATTTTATCTTTAGCTTTTATTTATTTAGCGCATGGATAACTATAGGTTTCCATCAGCGATTTTCGGACCTGGTAAATTAAGCTTTCTGTGAGCATAGATGAGGTATCACTCTAATATTCAAGGATACTGCAACATGGATGAATACCGCGTCATTGGCAGTTCTGGGTTTAACGGTCCTCTTTGGTGATTATTTTTACTTTAATCTGTATGGTTCAGCTAATCTTACCGGTTTTTTTACCCTACGTGAGGCCACCGTCCTCCTTTGCAACCTTGTTAGAGTATCCCAGCGCTTACCACAATTTGTTCCTCAGAAGCCAGCTTGCTTATCGTTTGCTACTAAAATGCACCGGCTCGGTCTTGATTTCGAAATACATCTGGCCTTGGCGGCGAAGATGTTCTGACAATTCACGTATCCTATTACTTTATTAGCCTCTCGATAGTGGTTGTAACTCATTTTTAATCCTTTTTAGTCAGCACCGGGTATTACTACCCATCTGACCCGAACACCTTCTACGCCCCACCCTACAGTCAGGCATCCGCACCCCCTATGGAATCAGAAGACAAGAAGGATCTTTAATTCATGACAGGCTCTAAATGTTTCTCCTCTTATGGTTAAAATTGACATCACTCGACATTCCTATTTGATTTGCTGATTTTTCTTCTTAATAAAATTTCGTCTCCTTTCATTTGGAATTTGGTGCTATCTGTTTACTGGAACTCTAAAGTAGGTCATGTCATTTAAGGTGAAAAACCTTCAGCGTGGATCCTTTTCACACTGACCAGAAGTTTGTTTTGTTTAAAATTAAAGATAGCTAAACAGGCTTTTAGCCTTTTAAGTATGTGTTTGAAAACTAAAGGTTCTACCCTTTTTCCAAATGATCGTTGAGGTGAGAACTCATCTCTATCAGTAGTCTGTGGGGCAAGCTGCGTTATGGTCTTTGTCAGCAACATGGAGGTCGTTATGCAACGTAATAGAAAGCAGAGAAGGTGAAGCATGTTGGGCCTCTCGAAGGTATCTGGATCCTGTAAAAATGTCACACGTGTGGATACGTGGAGTCATTGCAGTTGCTCGTCATAGAACGTTGAAATTCTTTTGAAATTGGGTCCTTTTTTAGATTTGAGATCTGGATTAGTAGGAATTAATGGGCTTCGCCAAACCGTATATCTTCAGTAGGTGTCTTTGTCAAAAGAAAGTGGAGTTTTTAAGCAGATGTAAATAGCCTGAATGTTTCCAGATTTTGCGCTAGTCGACAGCTGACGATCAGTGGCCTCACTTGACCACGCTTAGTTACAATGTGGTGAAAATGAAGAAGTCAACGATTTAGTGGTATCGAAGGCATCGCTCTAACTGAGCAGCAAGACTGGTCTTTACGGTAAGAGCTAAAGGAAAGGGGTGTGATGTTTTCAGGATCGTTGCCTCTGTAGTTATAATTTGCCGCAGCTCGGCATCAGCACCAGCAAACATTATGAGTGGTTTCGAAAAGACAATGTAAGAGTTGCAGCGGTTATGTGGCTTCACATTACGCTGTGGTTGTTGCCAATCTTGTATCATTTGCCAGGTAGAGATGTAGCCTGGACGAGTGAGTCGGCTGAATCATAGCAGACCTTCGAAAAAAATTATAATCCAATGCAATCATAGTTATTGCCATTGTGACCATTGTTTGACCTTAGCTTAGCCTAGATTTCAATTATCCTTGATGATATCGACCATCCTCATTTTTCCATCATTTATATCAAAATCTCCATACTTAACTAAAAGTAGTCTCGCGTACCGTTTTTAATTCCGATGCCATTGGTCATCTTAGATGGCATTAGGTGAAATATGTTCAATGAACCGGTTGCCTAGTTAGTTCTTCCCCTCAGTTACGCGAGCACTTAAGGCGTCAGCATTGTACTTTGAAGCTGTATCTCGGTCTCGGAGCCATTTTAATTGCTTCCTGAGCGTCTAAAAAGACACTAGGCACTGGAGAATAAACTAGAGGTTTTAGGAGCAATCATGCTCATCGATTGAATGTAAAGGGACCAATTTCTGGTACTTGTGTTTCACAAAATAATGAACTTGTGAAAGTGCCTGTCGAATATTATGAGATTAATAATGGCGATCATCTGAACAACACTGGAAGATTTAATTATGAAATAGGATTTGGGAGTATTCCATTGCCAAGCAGATGTCACCTAAGCTATGAAGCAGTTGTGCTTAAGAAATTTTCACTTAACTCAAAATGAGTAAATCTCTTTCCAATTAAACGTGAAGTTTGTGGCTGTTGTTTGATAACGCCAATTTGATAGATTATTAATCATTGGTCTGACGATGGTAAAATGTGCTGGTTGAATAGTTGTAGTGTCATGAGATTTCTCTAGAGACGGAAGTTGGCATGCATGAATAAACTATATACGTTTGGCTGACTGAAGACGTTGAGGCTAATAGTAGCCTCCGGGGATCTGTTCATCATAAAGAAGAAGCAATTGTTTTGTGCAGTGGTCATTTTTGGTACTCGTCATGTTCTCATAGGCGAGGGCAGAACTGCAGGCCGAGGCAAAGTCCTGTTTGTTCACCCTCCCTGTGTATAAGTAGCCAGCTCTACTTAAGTAGCCTTTGCAGAGCGTCGCGTTGCTATGTTAATTTGTACAGCTCAAGAGTTCATCAACATTTGTGCTCAATGCTGATCTTAATGCTCGCAAGAAAGCAGCTTTCACCTTTCTACCTCAAGACTTAATAATCATTTTTTAACTATTTTAAAATAGTGTAGCATAATTTAGGTCCTATATTTTAAGAATTGTCTTTGGACTATACATGTTCCGCACCTTTTGCGATTGTTTAAGTCACTGAAGGTTGTGCCCCGCTGGTCTTTTCAAAACAGCGTCAGGGTTTTATTTTAGTAAAAGGTGGACTGTGGCTGATTCTTAGCAAATCCTTATAAAATGGAGCTCTTAAGTCCTTCTAATCGCTATGATTTCATTGTCGCCAAGAGGTGGAAGCTCATAAGGAAGATTGGAGCCGGATCCTTTGGTGACATATATCTTGGTCTTAACATCGCTAATGGTGAAGAGGTCGCCGTTAAATTGGAACCTATGAATGCCAGACACCCGCAACTGGTCTATGAAAGTAGAATCTATCGCCTTCTTCAGGTACTATAAATTGGTAGACCTTATACTTCATAGAACACGTTTGCCGTTCCTCGAATACATTGGTTTGGCTCAGATGGAATGAAGAATGATTATAGGGCCTTGGTGATGGATCTGCTGGGTCCAAGTTTGGAGGATCTTTTTAACTACGTTGGTCGAAGGTTTACCATGAAAACGGTTCTCATGTTGGCTGAGCAAATGCTTTGGCGGGTTGAATATGTTCACTCCAGAAATCTTATCCATCGTGATATCAAACCGGACAATTTTCTGATGGGAATCGGCCAAAGGTGCAACAGGCTTTTTTTAGTTGACTTTGGTCTTGCCAAGAAATACAGGTTTGTTAGTCCTTTACACAAACTGGTACCATTGTACAGAGACAGCCGCACGAAAGTTCATATACCATTTCGGGATGACAAGAATCTTACTGGCACTGCCAGATATGCCAGCATCAACGCTCATGCTGGCCACGAACAGTCAAGGCGTGATGATATTGAATCCCTAGGATATGTTTTTATGTATTTTCTTAGAGGTCAACTTCCATGGCAGGGATTGAGGGTGAGTGTTTTCACGTTTTTTCGTTCCTGAATGTTTACTCTTTGAGATAACTTGAGAATTATTAAAATGTGTGACCATTTATTTATGCGGTCTCTGTTTATTTTGTGTCGGGTTTGATTACTATTTGTGTTGGTCTTCGCGTTTATTGCCGCTATGACATGAGGTCGTTCGAGCGCTCCAATAGATATATGGTGTCCTTCCCTATTAGCAGTCGCTTGCTTTTCCTAGTCATTCATTCCTTGCATCTTTGTATGCAGAAGCTGAACATTTTCTTTGACATGCTCAACTTTTGGTTCTCCGTTATTTTGTTTACTTTCGGTTCTTATCTGGTGGTTAGTGTTTCGGCTGTGCGATTTTATGCGCGTTGTGTTGAGTCTACAGCATAAGATTGCGTTCCTGCCGTTTTCTATTACAGGGTCATAAAGTGATTAGCAATCAACTAATAAAGACGTTCTCTTTGTCTTATTATTAAATATGCTGTGGAAGTCGGAACGGTCTTATCCACTTTGGTTATTCTCTTTAGACAATGTGTACTAGCACTCTTTTGGAGTAGCACTTAGATTTACAGCTTGTCTAATTCAACTTAATGAGTTTTAATGTGTAGCCTAGCTAAATGGTGGTTAGTTGCTTTTATTGTTTGCACTAAAGTTAAGGTTTCATGCTTGCTTGGGCGTTTATATCTGGCCTCTTCCTAGCCTACTTTTCGTGCCATATGGGCGGTTATTTGTACGCGTTCATTCCACCCCTTGGACCTTACAAATTCCTTTTCCCAGAATGCAGCCCTAACCCCTTCGTTTTTCATTTCTGGTAGCGTAAAGCTTTGATCAGCTACCCTTGAAAGTTGTTGCCTAGGTTTATTGAGTGAACCTCAGGGACGGTTACTGTCTGCAGGGTATATTTTGAGCGTATTTCAGTTTTACTTGTGAGCTTTTGGTATTTTAAATCTTAGCTGCTATATTAGAACTTTTTGCTCTAGAGAATTGTGGAGAGGGTTGTAGCGGTTACATTTGTTCTGGGTAACAAATTGGTAAGCATCTGTTTGATGGTTTACGACGTTTTTGAGGGATCATTTCAGTCCTTACACTAGGCAAATGTTTTGCCTTTGACACTCATTTAAAATCTTGAAGTTATTTCCGGATGATTCGTTTACATTTTTTTTGGTATTTTAAGCCGGACAAGCTGCCTAAAAGTGCACACGATGCTGAGAGATGATTCGCACAAACATTACAGGTATCACTGAGGCTGTTTTCCATGTTTCATTCATACTGCAAGATTAACATAATGATTGCTGAAGGGGGTATTTTTGGTTCAGATGCCTTAGAAGGGCCTCCGATTTATGGTAGCATCCCACCCACGCCCGTCATACGGCCACTCACCACGTCCACCTGTCTAGTTAGTCATGCTGCATTACGCATCGCTGCCGCAACCAACCCAGGCATTTCGTCCAGTCTGAACATGCGTCAGCTGGTTGTGCTTGCTGCGCATTTCTGTGATGAAAGATTGATTTGGCTGCTATGGTGCTGCCAGATCTTGACTGTGAAATTTAAGGTCAAGATAGTTTAATTGCTCTGTCTTCAGGCATTGTAGGCAGATAAAATTTGATTTATCGATCGGCAGTTCAGGTCAAAACGTGAAAAGTTGTGAAATCGGGAAGGTCTTTTTGCGCCACACGGAAAGGATATGTCCCTGTTCGCCCTAAAGACTGTTTTTCTTCTTTGCGGTTAGTGTGGCGTACAGGGTAAGTTCTTGGTCGAGCAGATGTTATTCTAGAGGAATGATTTCATGTTTGGGCATCTTTCGGCTTCCTAATTATAGGGTTTATCGCTCCCCTTCTCTGTCATCACTCCTGTTTATCAACCAAAAATCAGTTTTATGGTTCGGTTTCACGTTCCAGCATGTTTGTGCGATTCACTTTATCTTACGTACTTCCCCATACTGCATCGTCTCTGACCACAACTCGCTTATTTCCGACGGATTCTTTTCTGTTCGTTTTTGTGGCCTGTTTTAGGCCTTCAGCTGTTTTTGTAATGACTACATTGGTCTGGGTTTAAATATGTCAGTTCGTGGTTTTTGTGGCTCATGAAGTACGATATTTCCTAATAATTATCTTTGATTTTTGTCAAACGTTGGCCCGTCTTTCTCCCTCCTTTCTATCAAGGCTGCAACAAAGAAGCAAAAGTACGAGAGAATCTACGAAAAAAAACTGGCTACATCTCCGGAGCAATTATGTAGAGGCTACGCAGTGGAATTTGAAACCTATCTTCAGTATGCACGTGAACTGGTGTTTGAGGAACCCCCAGACTACCTCTTTTTGCGAAGACTGTTCCGCAAACTTTTTAAGACTTACGATTTCGCTTGGGATTCTGTCTATGACTGGACTCTTATGAAACAGAAACCAGCAGCTCTGTCCTCTTCGGGCAACACTGCCGGAGGTCACCATCAAACCACCGCGACGGCTGTCGGTGGCTGCAACAATAACAACAGTAGCAATCAGCAGCAGATCTCCATGTTACAGCAGAGCGGTGCAGATGGTCAACAAGTTGCAAACTATCGTCGGCAATACGTGGAAGAGACGTTCAACAACTCAGGTGTTGACTATGCTCAACAGGCTGCGCAGGGAGGAGCAGCAGCAACACCATATAAGGACCCCAATCCCAGGTTTTGAAGAGTCCTGCTCCCTTGTTTTCCCTTCTTTCTCTCCACATACTCCTCATTCCACGGAGAGTCCTACATGTGAATGATCCAATGCCTTCTGCATTTACTTTCTTTATGGTACTGTAGTTGTTTTTAGCACTTATCACTTCTCCACATACGCATATTTGCACCCTTTCGTTGACCCGGCCTCCGTCCTTTGTGCAGATGGGGAGCACGTGATGTGTTTTCTCAATCGCAATGTGATTATTTCACTCATCCCGCGTGGACATCTTGTACAGGCTTTGTTGTCCTTGCATATTTTCTTCCCTCATTTTCTCTATGAAGACTCGCACAGGAACTCTCATTACATTGCTGGTTTCTACGATATATACATATTGATGCGGCGTGAATGTTTGCGTGTATGTGATTTGACTCTGGTCTGTCCAAAATATCTGTGCATTGTGAATTTCATTACGGTATTCGTATGGGATGTATTCAGTTATTCTGTGTGCTTGTGTGGTTAGCTAATTGTGATCGCTTTGTGATGTTTATTTCGCGCTTCTAGTTATGCCACCCTGCTTCTACTTTTGGTTAAGACTTCATTATTAATCAGCACTTTTAGTCTGCTCGTCTATATTTGGACACGATAGCTTAGGGCTTTGGAATGCTTTCAAATATTCAAGTTAGATTTTATGCAATTATTTTAGGTTATCACAAGTTCCTATTTTAACCAATAGTAGTAGGTGAAATCGAAGTTCTAAGTCTGTCAAATGACTAATCCTGCTTGCCGTGGTCAAATTGTATCGTGTTTTGTTGTTGGTTAGCTTGCAGTGGCGCCAAAGGCTGTTTGTTTTCCGATCGAGGGAACAGGTGCATTATGAGATTTTCTGTAGGTGATTGCACTGGAAAGGCCCAGCTGCAGGTGAATTTGGCCTCAACCGCAAATATACTTAAGACGTGCAAAGATCTGGGTGGATGGTATTGCATTTTTTAACCATATTATTGTCAATTTTAAGAGAGGGTTGTCCGCTGTTTGAGGAATCCACTTCTTGCCTTACCATCTCTACCAGCCATGCAGGCTATAAATAGATCCTAATCTCACAGGCACGTGATTATTGTCCATTGCGTTTTTTACTTCCATGGATTGACGTCGCCCAAATGGAAATGAGCTTAGGCTGGGACAAAATCTATTTCGATTGCCCGTCAATCTCCAAAAAAATATCACTTGTCAATTCACTATGCTGTGTCATTTTTGCGATCCTTTTCAGCTGCATTTTCAGCATTTTCGAAGATTTAAAATTTAGGCTTTTTGGGTACCAGAACCGTGCCAAGATCGTGGATTAGGAGCTGGGATGGTAGCCTTCGGGATATAGTCAAAAAGACGGTCGCTATTGGCAGTTATTGACAGTGTTGGTGACAGCGGGTGCTATTGATTGAACTATTCTCGCTCATAATTAGAAAGTGAATTTTTATAATGCACTGATAACATTTACCATTCATGTGCATGCGAGGTCGATGGTGAATTTACTGTTCTTGTATAAGTGTGCCAGCATCGGGTCACGCGTTCACTTTAACCTTTGTAAATCTTGTGGCACTGTTGAGCCAACGAATAAGGTTTATGGCGTGTTTGGGTGTCGTTTAAGTGGCCCTGTTCGAGCAGGTGGTTTGTTAGTCTCAAAGACGATCAATCACGTGAGAATCTTGAGGAACCTGAAACCGAAGTAAGTGATGAGGGCAGCTGATGTAGCCTCAAAGACGTTGCGGTTCACGTCAGCTCCATCGGCAGTCACTTCTTTTGTTGCCTATGCCTGAACTCAAAGAAACTCATTCCGCCTGTCTTATTGGTAAAGATGACGCATTCAGTGGGGCATTTAGGTCTTCGAGGAATAAATGTGGGATGGGTTAAGACATTTGCCGTAGTGCCTACTTCATTCTCGTGCGTTTTAACGAACGTATGGAACTGCACTTGCCCAAAATAGGGAAAGTAATGCAACGATAGCAACCACATACTTGTTTAGGCGTTGCAAAAGAGGCGGTTGACTTATGTCTGTCCCGAGCTACAAATCTTGCTAATGTTTCTATCGAACTTGTTACTAAAGAAAGTAGTCTTACTGGGACTGATGCACAAAACTTGTTTTTATTCTATGTTCCCATAGCTAGTAAACAAAATTTTAACTTGACTCCAATCGTTGCGCAGATGTGATAGAACCGCCGAAGTGATATACTCATAGAGCATAAGCTAGAAGGTTCATTGAAATCACTTCCACATTGCATCTGCACGTCGATGGCACCCAATTTAAACGTTTATAGCGCCAGTGTAATGCGGAGAAATGCGTGCTAGAATTACCTCACGAGCCTCCTTTATTACTGCCTTAGGGTCGTGAATACGCTTTTGCATCATGTTGTGTGTGGACTTTTCCTACCAGCCGAAAGTTACATACTTGCAGTCTACTATTGACACATTAAATACTAGTTTCACACAGATAGCATCTCAATCCCTTTGTCTGTAGGCATGGCTGCAAGCAGGTGACTTGCAGTTTTGGACCACTCTTATGTCGATTCATTTTGAACATCTGAAATAATGGAGGGTCCTACTTTAGCTACTACAGAAACGACCAGTTTAGGGGTCAGGGGGATACGCTGTAGGAGCCGTAACAACCCATTTGTTGTAAGATCGTCGCGGAAATTGTGGTAATTGCTATCCTTCTTGACTCTTCAATCTGTGAGATTCCTTTATCATCCAAAAGCGGTTTAAATACTACAAAACATGTGTACATGGTTTCGTAGAATTGACCAGAAAAGGCACTTTTCATTCAGTAATATAGTAAGGAATACGTATCACTGGTGAGGATCCAAGTTTTGTATTTTTGCCTTTGGTTGCTTACATGAGAATGTGCAAAACAATTTCATTTACAACTGAGCAATTAACTTTTAACTACAAGAGAATGAGAGATAACCTTTGTTTACTGTGTGTTGGTAACTTCGTTAGTTTTCATTATCGGTCACCTGTTGTCAATGTGTCAAATGCCATGAGGTTGCTTGTCATGCCTCTAACCCTAAGATTGTCTTAAAGGGGACAAAAAGCTACATTCAGCTAACTTGAAATTTTTCCACTTTCCATCCTCCGATTTCCATTGGTTAACCATTTTCCTTTTTCCACTCCGTGTGGTCATACCTACACCTGATCAGCCTTCGTCATATTTTACCTCTAAACTGTGAATAAACCCAAGCGAGGTTTCTTGGGTCCGAGGTTTTGTCGTCCTGTAAATTATCATTTCGAGCATTGGTTCGGCTCACTACACTTAAGCGCTCAGCTGCAATTCCCTTGCAAGTTTTGGCGCAACCTTTGCTCCATCATGAATAATTCTGCATTAAAATTCAAAGGCAACTATCCCATCAGAGTGAATTCATTAGTCGGCATATACTACTTATCAATGTTGAACATAAATATGGCGCTTTTATGCCTTTCTTGTGCTATAATTAGACTTCTCACAAATTTTACTGTTTATAACATTGTCATGGAAAACCAATAAGTAGTATAGTGCGTGCCCATTAACATGCAACCCTTAAGTTGGCGACAACAAAGGTTGGATCGAATGCCATAGGTCTCCAAAGCAGAAGGGCACTTTGTGAACCGTTAGGCCATTGCGTCTGCGCTCCCTTGGTAATCCTTACCAAATTAAGCATTTTTGTCTCTGATCAATCCACTTCTTCTAATGGGATGAAAATATTTTAACAATTAGCAATTCTTCAACCAAAAAGAATACTCTAGGCTTAAGTGAAGGTGGTGTTGTCATCAGTGATGGCAGTTGGGAAATCTTGAATTCTTATTAACAGTGCTCCAAATGTCCGATCATGTGCAAAATCAAACGGCACTTAAGTGGATTATTCGAAAGTATTCTTAATGCTTTTCAAAATGTTTAAGTGAGTAACCTTAAGGTAAAGTAACATCATCTCATTTGTAGCTGTAGAGGTAATGAAGGAAATATTTATTTTCCAAATACCCTTTATGGCCATCGCCACAACGAGGAGCCTCCAGATGGCGTTAAACACAGTGCACGTATAAGCTTTTAGCAGCTTCCACTGACCAGGGCTGTCAGCATTTCCACAGTCGCAGTGTCTTACGTTGCGTTCGCCTTTCGCCACTTCAACCACCTCGGATCCTAATCTAGTGGTATGGGAAAGTGCGACAAGCTTTATTCGTGGACCCTGTTTCCACTTTTACTTGAGATGGTTGTTACTATGTTCTCATAGTTTTTTACAGAATTCGCTGTTTTTCTCGAATGCCCGACAATCCAGACGTTCTTTCCACAAATAGATTGGGTGTGTAAGTGCGGTTTTAGGGAATTATTCGTTATAAGCGTAAATAGGTTCGTCGCCTTCAGAAATTCAAGGACTGCTGCTTTAGATGTGTGGCTTTTTTGCGTAGGCGTAAATTTCTCCCATTCGCAAAAGTGCAGCTGGAAGTAGAACGAGGTAGTCCTTCCTAATACTTACAATAAATGATACAATTTACAAAGTAGATAATCGCGAAGGACATTGGACACTATTTTCATTTTCACTCACAAGCAGGCATCTATTGTTAATAGTTCTGAACAAAAGATACTCCTAGAAAGTATCTGTACGTCATTCATTCCTACGTCTGTTCGTAGTCCTTTTTCCCATCATTAAGAACTCTAATGAAGATGATTTAAAGTTTATATACTTGGGCGCATTTGCTTGTGTAGACAATCGTTAATATCTTTGGCATGTGTCGTGGACTGCTGAGTGAGGTGAAATGCGGTGACTTAGACTGTTTATGGACATTTTATTCCTATTGATCAAGTACCCTGATCAACAGTCTTCGATGGACAAAAAACAAGAAATCCTCTTATTTTAGTCAGCAAGCATATCAAAGAACAGGGCCTTTCCCTTGTGGCATTAATTATACAACCGCTATGCCATGGGAGATTCTTGGCATGTGGTAGTCAACGCGGTCATCCCATAAATAATGAGCCAATACGGGAAGCGTCGGTCTTCGTAAGTGATCGCTTTAAAATAGACGAGAGTTGGCAAGGCGTCTTAAAGTCGACTCGTTAGACCTGCACTGACTGGAGTCAATGGACAATAATCGTATGATTTAAGAGAATAAGTTTTAAAGATAAATCTAACCCCTCAAAACATTACTTCGTCCACTCCTCGTTTTTTTATCTTCTTCTAAAGGCACGTCTTTGCAATTCTCAACGATGTTTCACGTTTAGCAAGGAAGAGGGAGTAGAAATATGGCTTCTTACAGGAATGATTTGCAGCGCAGACAACTGAAAACGCCAATGAGATATTTAGCTTGATGGCTAGGGCGTGGTTAACTAATGATTGCCAAGTTTGTGGATAATTTAGGGAACAGGTTTTATTCTGGTAGGCCTTTCTAATCTTGGCAACAGACTGTCCACCGCAACAGTAGGCAGTGGAAGGGTTAAAATCATTTTAAGACGAGGTGACCGCAGGGGTCGACTTTGTCATAATTTAAAAGTTAATCAAACTGCTAGTACTGCTTTTAGAGCTTGGAGAAAAGTGCGAGTAAAGTGCTTTGAAATGAGCAAATTTTGGTACCAAAGGTGGGCCATTTGACAACAAAACACCAGAAATGAAGTGACAATAATGATGGATGCATGAAGTTGGGAACAATGAGGATCGCATAAAATGCGCTTACAATACCTTTAAGTGCATTCTACTCCTATTTTGCATTCAATGCAAGCGGCTAAGGTTGGTTGCTGCTCACTTTTCCCTTTGCATAATGCATTGCTTCGAAAGTACATGGAATCCCTGACGTATAGGGCAATGAATTCGGCAATTACCTGGCCTAGAACCTCAAACGGATGAGAAGTGAAAATGTTTTTAATTTGAAAATAACATTACCACTTGAACCGACTATTTTAATAGCATGAAAATGCGTGACTTTCCCCGCTTGCAGGATGAAAGTATTTTCACCCGGACGATACATTAGCAGAGTTAAGCAGTGTTAGCTGTAATGTCGAAGCTAAATTCGGTAACACTTAACTAGATCTCCGATACCACATTAGAGAGGAAGTTTCCCTAGTTAAGGGAGAAAAGTTTCCATCAGTGGACTTAAGGCTACCGTTGGGATGCATCAGTTAGGGTGTCTAGAAGCATGGTAAGTAAATCTCACACATAGGCAAGCGAACTAAATTATTACCTGATTTCTTACTGTAAAATGTTGATAATCGTTTCTTAAACTAAAAGTATAATAGAATGATCCAGGCTCAGGGCTCAGAACAATACATTTGTGGGATGCTGCGTAAAGCCGAGGCAGTAGACTGAAAATATAATTCAGAGTTCAAGCGCCCCGAGACTTCGCATTAAGCATTAAATGAAGTTAAGACTTGGCTCATTACATACGTTCAAACAGGGGAAAAGGGGTGAGGCTTTGGAATCCCCATCCGGGTAGAAGCATAATGGCCGCCGAAGGAACATACGGTGGCAAAAGTAGTGTGCCACAGAACTGAATCCATGACCAGGTTAAGCGTCACAAAATAGACAAACCATCTACTTAGGCACCACTAAAATAGTAAGCAAATGTTTTAAACGAATAAAAGTAGTTTCTAAACCTCCTACTTTGATTCAATCCAATCTTAACTGCCTTTAACAGTGAGCTCATTAATTTCTCCTCACTATGTCCAGAGACGCGTTCTGGCAAACCTCGAGAGAGGTTCTAAGCTTTATGCGCAGAGCCATTTCCAATCTGACGACCTACTCTCGCTGCAACAGTCAACAAGCAGTGACATCTACTCTTTCAAAGTTGTCGTCACTTTCCCCTTTTTGCCATTTACACTAACAATGTAGTGTGGCATTCGAAACCCAGGGATTGAAGTTTAAAATAAATCAAGCCCTCAATAAAAAAAACAAGGAACTGTCTCCTCAGATGCATTTGATAGGTAAAGTCTAAATGTCAGCAAGTTGCCAAATCACAAAATGATATTTTAATTGACTAGAAACTACGTATTGAGGACACTAAATTGCCTGATAGTGGGCATAGTCAGAAGGTAGAGCTGCTAGTGCGGTTTTGTTTTCGTGTAATGTTCTCGTGATGCAGCGTCGCGAAGTAAATGAGCTGCCTTTTCCGGCGTGAGGTCACGTTGCACTTCAGCCAAAAGTTCATATCCCACCATGTGCTTTTTCACTGTGGCAGAACGCAGCAGCGGTGGTAGGTAAATTCCATGAAGTTGCCAGTAGACGGCTTTCTGAGATGCCTGCAGTGGAACCTGATACCATCCGAAGGAGTAGGGTGAACTTGTCTGAAAGAGGTTGTCGTAGGCGACCAAAATACGCGACATGACGTCAGCTAATGTGGATTGTTCATCAAGGCTTAACTCATCCAGTCGACAGACATGACGTCGAAGTGGAGTTATGAGACATTCAAAGGGCCAGGCCGCCCACCAAGGCACGAGAACTACCCAATCGGCATTGGCCACCACAATGCGTTCTTTTAAGGCTAATTCGCGTTTCACGTAGTCGAGAAGCAAGAGAGTCCCGTGACGGGAGTAGTAGTCTTCTTGACCGTAATCGCTACGAAGTGCTCGCGTGGGAATAAAGTCACTTACCCATGCCTATAGAAGAATAACGTAAAAACTCAACCTACCAACAAAATTTCGTCTTGCTTTGTTGGGGTAAAATAAGGCTAATTTGGCGTTGGTGGTTGTGATAAAACGCCTTTAAATATGTTCAATTACTGTTTTCACATATAATTGGGTCGAAGCTTCCCAAAAGACTCATTTTTATGATAAAAAGTGCTTCATTCTTGTAGCAAAATCTGTACAGCAACACAGGAAACTGGTAGCATCGGAAACTATAACGTGTGTCAAAAATGTGATTTCTTATAAAAGGTGAGGTACTTTCCGTCCTACTGACTTTGATCTAAAAACTACACCATGAGACCACCATACGATCTGATCGCTTTGTGTAAAATATATTTACTACTTTGAAATTAAATCAGTTTTATTGCAGAATTAAAAAGTTATCAACTTCATTCTAAAGCTGCAAATCTCAGCTAACCTCTGAAATGTACTAACCATTCTCAGGTATCACCAAGACTATCGGTTTCGTAGGTAATCAAAGCACAGATCTTTTGTTTCCGCTGGATGTCACAACCTCTGAGACATTCTAGTAGCCTTAAATTCCCTATGCGTTGACCCAGGCCTTATTGTCTTTGAGGAGATCTCAGAACGCAAAACGGTGGTAGCGGGAAGCAAATCCGACCTTAAAGGACAAGCCTCGTTATTGCTACTAAGAGAGGTTGAAAGTCAGCATGGAGAAAGAGAACCATGTGCTGCGGACAAGAGTATCCTTGATGACTTTCAACAAGGGGAATAAAAATAGTGAGAGAAGTTTATTTAGCATGCAGATATGCACTCAAGCTATTGATAGTTTTGACATCGTATATGTTAATTATTCATGCAAAAGATGGCGAGTACGCTCAGAGAACCGGAAGGAGTGACAAAGTCAGCGGAAGCGTTTTCTTTGTCGCAGCTTATTGGGAGACAAATAAGTGGCATGTCAAACAGGGATGAAGTAGAGGGTAGAACGCAAGGCAGATGTGGACAAATGGAGTTTCCTTATTAACCTCTTTATACGAATAATAGCAAGGATAAAAATGATGTAAAGCAAAACAACCTTATCTCACAACTGTACTCCAAGTATTCTATGTGGAGAAGTGAACAAAAAAAAGCTCATTGGCCATTCTGTCTGCTTTTTTGGCGTTCAAACACTAAATCTGTAGTATGGGTACTACTAAAAAGTAACATGAGCAAAAAAGCCACAAATCCAAAACTGTATTGGGAGGGAAGATAGAGCAGGCTCATGACAGCTAAGACTTAGTTCTCATTTACTGATCTAAAATTACAAAAAAAGAAGTAATCACTGAGTTAAGGTGTCAAAAAAAACTTAAGTAAAAAAGATTAATCATGCTTATGGTGTGAAAATGCTGACAGTTCTGACTAAGTGATGGCTGATTGGGCTGAAAGACCTGTTTAACGGTGGTTCACTACACCACGCAATACGAATGGAGGATGAAACGCCAAATCGTGCCAAAATAGGCAAACAAGAACTTTATTATCGTGTAAAGAGAGGCTGTGTTGAGCAGCACGCTCGGGCACGAGCAGTTTGTAACCTTGTCAGGGCTCAATTCGCACTCATGATAGTACATAGTTGTTTATGATGGGCTGTCAGGGCTTCCAGCTCTTTAATGAGTTGTAAACATAGGCCAAATCACAATTGCAATCAAGTCAGTTTTCCCTGACCATTTCAAGAATATAAACACTAGAGTCATTTTACAAAACGTTTTTTGAGCTCACAAAGGGGGGGGGGGCAAAAGATTACCGAATCTTCAAGGAGCAGAAGCTGGCCTGGATGGGTCATGAAGTCTCAGAAAAAAACACATTACAATGCATAAATTATGTAAATTAATTGAAATAGCTCTTGATCCTGGTTTAACCTATGCTTAGAGATCAGGGCTGAGCACATTTTAAGGCACACTTAAATGACTGAAGTCAGGATTAAAGGCTAGAACTCAAATTTCGAGAGCAACTTCCATTTATTGCTTCTTACGCATTCCTATGCGGAATCACTGCTTTTTATTTGTGGAAAAGTAGCACTCCTCACGACTCATACTTGAGGTACAAGGGCACAAATTTACCAATCGAAATTCAAATTTGTGCAATTTGTAATGGTTAAGTTTATGTAACTTAAATGGATGAATGCCAAGTGATTGGGTGCATTCCCAATCAGAGGTCTTAGTAAAATTGCAAAAATCAGTGTACTACTAACCTTGTTTGAAGCAACATTTTGTTGACTCTGGGACTCTGTAAATCTGCCACAGCAATTTCACTCTTCGGCATGAATCAGAGTTATGGAAAAACTTGATCCGCCTCACCGATTCACGTTTTTTTTCATTGATCAAGCGCTGAAATACTCACTTGGGAACCACCAGCGCGATAAAGTGAAGCGACCAGATTTAAAGAGGGATTCGATGCTTGTGTTTGTGATGGTCAAACACAGTGTAGGTGACATTTGGATGTTGTTGAAGGAATGCTATCAACTAAGGACGATCCCTATACGTGGACTCAACTTGCCTCATTGTTTAAAATTCAACCCTAGTCCCAAAATGAATCAATGTGATGCTGCGCACTTAGTGCAGTAAAAAACACCGCCTTCGGAATCCAAATCTCCCAACCACCAATGTGGTGGCATCCAACTTTTTATGCATTGTTTTAATTGCTGGTTCAACTCTACGTTTTAGTTACAAAGGCACCAGAGGGTACGACCATTGTACTTCGCCCCGTCTTATAACCTTCTGTCTGTGCTTGTAGCGTTTCAACTGATGGAGAAATGTTGGAACGCCACTGGTAACAATTAAAAATTATTTTAGGCATCAAAATCTGTGTCATTAATCCAATGAGATGATTTTGCTTACTCCCCACGCATGAGATCCATACTTATACACCAAATTCAGCGCATATAAGCACACTTAAGAGGTACACATCCACTATTTCACGACTTAACGTAGCGTTGTTTTATTTTAATTATCTGTTAAATCTTTTTGATTTCGTGCGTACTTAGGACTCCGCCTTTTAATACGTTTGTTATGTGGGATGGCTTCCAAACCATGTCAATAGTTTCATAGTCCTTTGGTATCTCGGTATTGTGCTCTATCCTAATGTTTTGACTTCCGGAAAAGCTCGAAGCACTAAACCACAAAACTGAATTCACTTACGACTAAAATTTGATGAATTATCATGCCACAAGACTTTTGGCAAAATGATATCTGTTTTGATCAAAACAGAACAGGAAAACACTACGTAACAAACACCTAGATATTTCAATTCCATCATTTTTTTGTGCTACCTTCCGGCCATAGCATGGACAAGGTAACCGTTAAAAGTGATTGGAAAAGTGGTTGGGCGCCCACCATGGTATGCTGCAGAAACAAACACCCAAACACACACACACATAAACACATAAACACCAGTTTATGTGAAGGCCTGATCGACCACTAACCGATGCGAAGGTTCCACTTAGGGCGTAAACATCCTGGCAATTTACCTGGCAGTTGAATTGGCACAAACCCTCTGCCTAAGGTAAGGTTGTTGAGAGTGCTGAACGACCATTCACTAAAACTGACATAAACAGTAGTGATGCCTCTTTCAATTGTATTAACGCATACCGGAAAGTACTTTAACATAGTAGGATTCTCCAGTCAAATAAGAGCTGTTTTCCCAGTATTCCGTCCGTTTCTTATCTATGCCATACAACATGCGTGCATACAGCAGCGAAATGAGATGAATGAAAATATGTTTAAAAGGCTAGAAGGAGTCACGATGACTGGGTTTACAGGCATAGCCTGAGCACATTTTATAAAAGCTGTAACATAGGGATATGAGTGATTAAGGTTATTTGTGACTTGAATCAGTTTGGCCGAGTCAAGAGATATTACTGAAAGTTCGAAACTGGTGGCACTGGAAATAGGCATTCAGAGCATATTAAAGTAGGTAATTGTTTATAAAATGAACATATCGGGGACAGGACCACTGAAAACGTCGCTAGACTGACAGAAAAACGCTAATGGACCCCACCAATGACAAGGACGTTGGAGTGACACTAGAGCTGAATGAAACTACAATGGATACTTCGGTGGATAATGTTCAAAACTACGAGGGAACTGTGAGGCGTACAGTGTGACAAGTAATTGCTAGTTTTCGCTAGTTTCGCTAGTTATCGCTAAAGTGTTAGTGCACTTCGGTAGAACTACTTGATTACACCTTATGTTCCAAAATTTGGTTTTATTTACTTACCCAAGTTGTTGATCTCCCAACCCTCCTATATATCATGATAAACTTGTTTTTAAACCTAAGCACGCCTTAACAGCATCAGAGCTGCAGACTCACTTACCTGACAATGCGGATGAGGATTCGAGCAGCCCATAATCTCACCGCGGTTTTCAAATATCTGGATCCACTGAAACCCGCGGTCAGCGCATTGGCGAGTAAGATGAGCCCATTCCTCGATTACCTTGATAATTTCCCCGTGGGTCATGAGAGCTAAGGTAAGGTCAGGGCGAGGATGAAAGCAGGTCACGTAGCACTCCCCTGTCGCAGGAGCCCAAGCGAACAGAGGGTCCTTGGATTGCGCCTTCCTTGCATCTTCTGTTAAATCTCCTGCTCCCTCTCCTGAACGTGCTGACTGTAAAGAAAAACGTTTAAGATGCGCTTCACAGTATCAGAATTGGCCACCAACTATTAGCACTTGAAATGCCCTAGCTAGTTAGACTTTTTATGAAGCTGGAATCCTGCTTATTTTCTTATAAATTTCGAGAACACTGAGAGGATACTGAAGACGATTTTCAAAAACTGCTTACCTAATACCATGTCAAAAGCCAAATGTGAAATTTTCATTTTCATCGAAAGCATGGTATAGATGTTCGAAACACCCAATATCACTGCATCAACAGTTCTCCTTGGGTGATAACTTAAAGGCCTAAACTCGGTTATACATCCTCCTCACCGTAATTAATTGTCTTAGTTACTGAGGCGGTGAATCACCGATGCCTTCTTATTCCTCTATGAAGCTGATTCTCGCAACTGCAAAAATCTTAACACATCGTTAATTAGCCAGTTCCTCGAATTGGTGAAGTTTCATGTTGGTTGTGCTTACCTCTGTAAGCATTTCTACCTAAAATTTGCGTTCTTTTTTGACATTGTCTTTCAAACGGACCACTGGGGAGGGATTTGTGTGACCATAAATAATTCGTTAGCTGATTGCGTGTTTTTCGAACACATGTTGGAACTTGGTTTACACGAAAGCGGTTTGAGGTGGCCCGTTCTGTAATAAGCCACACAATGTAGGCAATGTGTTTCGATTAGTTTGAATGAAAAAAAAATCACAATGCACCAAAGTACACAAAATACTTGTTACTTAGTTACAAGGTCTAAATGATGATAGAGTAAGGGACTATTGGAAAAAAATCAGAAGTGGAAAGGAGAAGAAATGCTAGACATGTATTGCAGGATACCTTAATCAGGCATTTGATGGCTACTAAGTCTGTCAAAGGTTGCGTCCCTTTGCAGCCACTACAAAATGCCAAACAGCGCTAACATTATCTGTCGTAGTTACCAGGCAAAAAAATGAGGTTGCTTTAAATGAAGTAAAATTATTAGTCAATGCATATAATGTCCGTAAAAGACTTCTGAAATTCATCAGTGGATAAAGACTAAATAAGCTTGGCTACGAGTATGGAGGAACAAAGACTGAGCCGCCAACAGACCATCCCTTGTGCCTTGCAATTTTGCTAGACCATGCTTTATAAGTTGCAACATGATTTGCCCTTTTAAAAAGAACAGCTAAAAGCTGTTCTCCTTGACAATTCCTACCACTAATTAAAGATTACGAAACATTATAAGTAGTGTTTCAAGCAAAAAAAAGCACATCGGTTAAGTGGCTCTTCTCCTTGCATGCAAAATGAAACGAATAACCAACACCCCAATGCTAAATCAGAAATACATATTTAATGACAGAATTCAAGTGATTTTAGTAGGGCTGTAGGTGAACTGCAACAAACCTTGATATGGAGCGACGTGAAATGAGGCTGGAATTAAATGCTTTTTACTTCCCACTTTCATGAGGCAAGTTTAAAGCCTTAGTAATCCACATAAGACATTCCTTGCCACTCATCGCAAACCCTTTATGCACTCTTGTACACAAGCTTTGAGAAATTATTCTAGAACTCAGAAGGGCGCCGCTCAAAATTTTTATCAACCTTATTGCCAAACATTTGTTTCAATGTTAGGACTTCAGACCATCACGATTTATTAGTCTAAATTGGCACGGAATACTACAAGAACTAGTTAAATTCTTATCTGCTGAAGTATCAGCTACGTTTTGTTTACTTCTGACCTGCCAGTCCATCAATATGGTGTTTCTAAGGGAGCGAAAGAGCTAAGTCAAATCACCCATTATCACAAACATTGATGTCCAGGGAGAAGAGATGATGGATTGTAAGCAGTTCTGTCTGACGAGGTGGAGAAAATTCAAATTTATCATCCTAATCGTACAACATTTCAGTACCTTAATGCACGAATTGATGCAAACTGACCACGAAAGAATTAGTAATATAAACGTAGACCGAGTTTATATTAGGTGATCCAGTCCTTAACTGATAGTATCTGCCACAACTTTACAAGATTGGCATGGTCACAGTCTGTCGCCCATTTCGTGAGCTGCAATAAACTCTTCTCCCGTAAAGGTCAACTACACTAGGTTTATGGAGAGGACAGTAAAAATAGACCTATCTTTAGTTATGAGTTAACTCTTGTCCAGTCGGTTTAATTAGAAAAAAACTGCCACCACTGCCACGGTATGAGTATGCCACATCACTGAAAGCAAGGAACCAAATAAAGCCGTCCAAACCATAATATTGACGATATTGTGAGCAGTAGACTTTGTAAACAATTGTAATTTCAGCGAAAAACAGTTAAACCGAAGAAAAATGCCATGGCAAACGAACTGTGAATCTTTATTTGCTAACTCCTATCAGCTCGACTAGGAAGACGAATTCGTTTAGTTAGACTAAGCATCTCGCTGCATGTTTCGATGTTCCATAAAAGGAACTCATTTTTCTCAAACAAAATCATAGCGAGCCAAGAGACCGATTATTCCATTCAAAAGGTAACATCCTTCCGTAAACCACTTAAACCACATGAGAAGATTAAGTGCGACATAGTTAGATTCGAACTGAAACCTCAATTGTCGATAAAGTTATTGAAGAGGGAAACATTCAAGAGCCTCAAAAGCTTCAACTTTGTAGGACATGGTCATCTTCAAAACAAAACATTCGCTTTGAGCAAGCTGCTCCAAAAGTCACTAAATGAAGCACTCTAGACAGAATGATCAAACAGGAACCCAATTTCACGTCCATAAAACGCTATTTATCGCTGTTGGTTTTGCCCTCAGCAAGAGGTGTCCCCCGTGTCCTGTTGCACATCCGTATCTGACACAGGTCATAAGGCATTCTGTCAGATGCTCTTGATGGGTACGGTAGGTCAAATTGTACCGCCTACACAGGTGCCAGTTCACGTGGGTCAAAAGAAATCTCCAGTGAAGGAGGTATTAAGATATCCCAGATTCTTGAGTTGAGTGCATTGATAAGGCATTCTGTTTCACTGTGACAGTTGATTGATGTAAGCATTAAAAAGCCGTAACAATCCTAATCTAATGGTTCACAATCCAAAGTCACAGCAGCCATTTCTCTTGACCTTCAGTCAGCGTGGAACCCATGTACCTTTTTGTGCAATTAGTACATAGCTAGCTGTGCGAATAGACTACAAAAGGAGGTCTTTCTGTGGGAGTGTAAATGCGATCATACGTACGATCATGTGTAGTTTCGAAAGGTCATCTCACAGCGCCTCCAGCACAGTCGCCTGCACAATTCTGAAACATCCACTTCACTAATCGCATTTGACAACTATCCAGTCAGGAAACATCGTTAAGAGCTATTTTCTTTTGCTTATAGTTCCAGTACAGTATCCCAGAGAACAGTGATTCGGGCTCTAATAGATCCTTCGAGCCGGTAATAAAGATGTAGGAAGCAGGTGCTAAGGCGGACATTGTAGGCAGGAGGAAGAATTGCACTTCGACCCACTTACTCTTTGCGAATTGCTAATTCAAGCGAATAGATGGACAAAGTGGAGCCACTTACCTGTTTAAATGCGATAATTCACCGCTTCAAACTCCGTCCTTAAGCATAACATGAGTTTGCTTTCTTTGAATTAAAATCAATTATCTAACCAACAAATAAAAACCATGGACCAAGTCGACAACAGCAAAGCTAGACGACTGAATATGCTAAAGTGAAAAAAAAAACCGAAAATTGGGTCTGATTGGGGGCACATAAAGCACTTGAGTCGGCGTCAGGCACAGAGTAGAACCAGAATTAATGGATAAATGTAAGGTTAAGCTAATCAAAGAAAATTTAGTGCGATTCTCAAACCATTTACAAATATCAAACCAACTTCGAATTAATGTAACAATAAAAAAAGCGAAATTGCGCGAAGTAGATTTAATAGCACGTACGAAGGCAGGGAAGTCGTTGGGAAAGGTAAATGTAGACTCATAGAGGGGATTCACTGCTCCACTGGAACGTATTGACCCTGGGGCCAGGGGATTAGACTTCCCACAACCCTGAGATGCCTGGGAGGTATCACCGCCACCAGAAACAGACGATGTTTTCTCAACAGCCCCGGACCAAGGCCGATTGATGCGGTTCGGGGAGACAACGACCCACTCCTGGGCCAGCGGATTATATCGTCTGTGCGATTTGTCCTGTGGTGGCTTTGAAATGATCTGATCCTGCATGGTCAATGCTATTTATTTGGACTTAATCAGCAGCAAGCGAGAAGTGCGCCTGAATCGAGGCGTAATATTGGAAATGTCTCATGAATTCGAAGGGGAGAATCACAATTCCCTCAACATGAGATAATTCCACCTACTGAAACGCAAATATCAGTCCAAGACGACTTATAATGTGGTTCATACTTCAGACATTGCCCAATATTAGTTTGAGAACAGTCAGTTTATTTCCGACCGAAAATTTGATACAGCTAAAATGAACCACTAACTATCACATCGCTAGCAAAAGAAACGCAGCAGAGTAATAAAGCACCTCTAGAAGCAGCAAAATGAGTAGCCTTTTCGCTGTCTATACGAACCAACCGACTCGATTCACTTCCATACGGAAACACTGCCATGTTTAAGGCAAAAGGGAACACCTGTAAAGTTTGTTAATTAAATATTACGGTAATGTTCGACCGTCTGGTCAATACAATCTCATCTTCCATGATAAAGAGGTATTCGCATGAGAAGTGAGAAATGGCAACCTACGTGCGAAACTACTGGAGACTGACAGCACAAACAGTTGTTCCATAGGATACAATGGGCACCCTACATCAAAGCGAGCTACCAGCCAGATATTTTGCTTTAGCTCGAGGCTGCTCCTCATCACGAGAGATTATCAATGGTTACTTGTAAGCGAAAATTAAAATAAAGTTTATTGGTCATCTTGAACACGACGTCCAATCATTCAAGTTAGATTAATGGAATTCAACCACTTTACTGTAATCAGACGTGAAAACGAGACCGCTGAAGCTCCAACGCAGCGAATCCATTAGGACTTCTACAATAATCCAATTCTGAGGGATCAGGTCAGAATACTTACCTTAAATTACCTCCAGCGGAAGTAAAAAACTATATTGAAAAACGGACGTGACCACCCTCAATAATTGGCATCGAAACACAAGCGTACGAACTGAGATAGTATTTGACTTTGAATAAATAAACAGTGTAGATGACGTCATACCGCCAAATTTCTGAAGAATCCGACTGAAATAGTAACAACTTCTTCGAGAGAAACTAAAGGCAATACTTAAGCGCCAATAGGAAATGGACCAGTGATGAAGGGGAAAAAATCAGTGAAGAGAAACCAAAGAGTCATCGCCGGACCAAAGAAACGATTCATGCGCTGCTAGAATAGCAATCAAAGGTAATCAAATGCATATTTGCGATAAGAATGAAAAGAAATGCGGCCATTACGCCACTAAATAATCCCAATACACAAAAAATCAAAGCATAAAGAATGCCAAAACATTCATTATTGGAATAACAAAAATATTTAGTAAATGCCAGTAACAGCGGATATTTCATCTCTGGTGAGAGGTTTCAGATTGAAGCCCTTCAGAGGATCCTCTCCTTCAAGTTTACGTAAATTCTCCAAGTCATGCTTGATTTCGTTTCTAAGAGAACTGATTTCGGCAGCCAAAGTATTAATGTCTGATTTAAGAGCAGCTCTGAGACCATTCCTGGGAACTTTGAAAAACTGATGAGAAAGACAAGCCCAGACCCTATTTGGGGTATTGGTGTCATTCAGTCGATTTAAAGCCTCTTGGGATTTCCTCCGGTTCATTTCATACAACTTGCATTTTTCTTGGCCACTCACTACCTTCTCAGCCGCTGCCTCTAGTTCTTCTAAATCACTAAACAACTTCGCTAACCGAACACTGTCCATTGCTGATCACGCAAACGCAGACATCGTCCAACCGTGCCTGCAAATATCCGACAATCATTGGAAGCTAAGTGTCCTTGGAAAACACCTCTTTTCTAGATCATTTACTTGTTTAGTCATGTCTGCCTATGTTTTGGTTGTTAAGTTCGTGCGAAAATTAAAAATTTTCCCAATAGCATGAGCATATCAAAACTTCGATTTCTGAAACATTAACATAACACTATAAGGGCGCATTTGCGAAATTGTGTGTAACTCGAACATGATTAGTGAACCTCGGTTGGCTGAGTCTCGACTGTGGAATTTTCGTTGGAATCGTATGCCGTATAACCCAAAATTTTTTAAGCCGATTTCTTCTCTTGAGCATATTATTTGAACTACATCATTTGGTGTGATTAGTATAGGTCATTCCATTCCAGTGAAATCGCCTTTCATTGTAGCGACGCCAGACTGGAACTATGGCCCTCCAAGTTCCCAAGTTACGGGACCTTTTCCGTTTTGCTTTTTTTCTTTGCACGAAGTAAGCTAATTTTGGCCTGATTTTATGAACAATAACAAGTCACAAGTTTTTATTTATACGCTCTTCTTAAGAGTCCCTCACTACCCATCCTCGACCAGGGTATGCATAACTCGAGTGAATCGTGATCTTTACGGCCGTATGTACCCGGTTTATCTAGCTCTATCGAATGGTGCTACTATTCGAATTCGCTACAAGGAGCCACGACATGTGCTTCAGGTGAACTTCTTTCTCAGTCGCATTTCCTTTTAACATTGGTCGTGATTGTTTAGCAGACTAAATACTACGCTCTGATAGCATTTGGTTCTTTTACAATGCATTTTTTGTCGCCCCAACCTTTTTGTTAGGTGCTCATTTATCTTGTCCATCCTTGAATAATTGCACTTATTAAGTTGACAGTTCTGGCCATTTTCGTGAAGGTTTGACCTAGTAGCTATTTAATTCGATCAAATGGCTTGAAAGCGAAGTGTTTTTATAGGAATATTAGGAGGAATAGTTTATTTAATTTACCTCTTTGGACACAATCCTAGGTAGAGTTGGTGTGTATATCCAAGGCTCTCTGATCTGGCAGCCACAGAATAATCGGCATTGCTTGCTGGAGTTAAGCTCTTCAGCAGTTTTAAAGGTAGTTACAAGAAGTAATGTGGGTACGATTGAAGCATTTTTAAAACAATAAAGAATTCTTGAACTACCAGGTATAGATTTTGAGGGACAATGTGCGCACTTATGTTTTGGTTAAGGATATCAGTTTGTCTCATTTTCGACCTTAGATTTTCCCACTTTCATGGCATGTTTGAGATTGCTAATTTCATAGCAGGTGATATGATGAAGCCCCTACGTCATAAGTATCAATGTTCTCCCAGTGTTTTATAGGGTGTACTACTCTGGGTGTAACGTCGTTATGAGTTCCCAAAAGGGCTAATGGACTTTTAGCAGAAAGGGCACTAATGAAACGTTCATGAATTGAAGAGTCTGCTTTGTTAAATGTGTATGTAAATCTATCTTTATTTCTATTGTAGTCCAGTAATGTAAGTAGCTAATCAGTGGTTCCCGTCTTTGACTTCAGTTGCCGCTGGATCTAGACGAGTGCGATGAGGAGGAACGGGCTCGGCGTCTGCTACGTCGGAAGCCGCGAGAGCGTTTGGAATTGCAGGAGGACACGGGGTTCGAGGACTCCTTCGACCCGACTGCTTACGACTTCCTTTTGTCGAAGTCCAAGTCTAAGTAGTCTCTTCTTCTCATTGTTACACTCCTTTCTGTAATGCATCTGGGCGTCTATACATAAAGAATGTCGATGCTTTCCACTGTCTTGTAAGTGGGCGCTTAATTCTGAAGTCCTATTTGCTTGATTTTAACACCTTGACTTAGTTTTGATCTGTCCAAATGAAGAGTAATGCTTTAGAGCATTTATTTTATGATAGACGTGATAATTCTACCTAACCTCGAGGCATTCCTTTCAATTTGTCGTTCCTTATTCTCGTCCCTTGAATTTGAGTGGTTTTTTGCAAATAATGTCACATCTCGATAAAACTTTGTAGCATATCCGTCTCCTTCTCCTCGTCATCTGGAGTGATAACTACCGCTCCTTCAGAGGCATTGGCTATGTATTTTTTTGTTATTGTATTCTATAGCAGAGGAGGTAGCTTGGCAAAGGTCGGTGCTTTGGTTTCTGATCTCCTTTTTCTTCTCCCATTTAGTAGTGTATTTATACTTTTGAAGCAAGTGTTGAGGCAATTTCACTCCAAATTTTGATGCACTTGTCTTCAAAGCACGAAGTTATGCATGGTTCTCTAAAATGAGTCCTCTTTACCAAAGCATTTGAAATGATTTGTTTTTTTACTGCGTGATGATTAGCTTTATTATTCAGTTTGTTGAGTGGTTAATGCAGCTTTTTGGACTAAATTCCGATGGAAGATTAGTGCGACTTCATTTATTCACCTTTATCGGCTAACAAACTGCTCTAAGTACTTTGCGGTATAGTGAGTTCTCGGCTTACATACGCACCCTTGCCTTAGTCTGCTAAATTCGACGATTTTAAGCGTCAAAAGGGTTACTCTTTTTTATCAGTAGCATCATTTGAGATATTACAATCACGAAGATGGTGCAACTTTACACTTCAAATCGCTTCGACTGAACTTTTAATACTTGTGAAGGTAAAACCGTGACAATTGTGGCCATTGAGGTCAGGCGTCTGTTTAGAAGTAAAGAGAATTGCATAAGTGGTTATCTTACGGCTCAACCCTTATTTGGAATTATAAATGTAACTAAATAAGCGCCAGACGTGGGCGTCCCATTCCCGGTGGCTAGGATAATTCTAGATCTGTGTTTCTCTTTAATGTAATCATGTTTAGTTCTTTAGCAACCGGAAGACAACTGCAAAGTCTCACCAACAAGTCTATCTTAACCGTTAAATAAATTACATGTGCTAATTCCGCTGGTCTGCTTTCAGGGGAAGGGATGGGAGACAGCGTGGTGCTTCGGAGCTTTTCTGAAGCCGAAAGAAGTTGTAATGAAGAGATTGGGGCCTAAGAGTCCTGAAAACATAACTATTGCAAAAGTGACAACTGCAGCGAATTTTATTACACAATTAAAAGGAGTATTGGCTCCAGTCACCCTAATTGCCGTGGCTTTGTGACCTCTGCTCCCATCCTCATCTGTTATACCCGTAACTCAGCCTAGATATTTTAGCAGCACAATTCAAATTTTTATGCAAGAAAAAAGTAGCTGGGGACTTTTTCGACATACGTGTGACACCAACTAGTAAGCATCAAACAAATTTGGACTACAGTTTAAAGCAAACAGGGACTTGACTTTATAGGAACTACAATAATTTCGACTTATTGTCACCCGCGGCAGAAAGAGACGCGTGTTCGACCACATTTACCAGGCATCAGCACGCAGGCTGCAAGCCATGTTGCATACTGTCAGTCGGTACGGTGTGTCAAAGTGACGCACTTCTAAATGAGGTCGAAAGGGCGTTCTGGTGAATCAAGCTACTTGAGCCAGGTACGATGACTGCAAGCTCTTTCCCGCCAAGGCATATAAGCGGCGTTGGTGTGCCAGTGGCAGGGTTGACCTCGACGATTTTTGGGTGGCAGGTTTTTCAATTCCTTAATCAGACTGCTAAACGTCTTCGTCCTCCATACATGATCGTCACATTACTGGGATTGCGGCTAGATTGGACGAGGGACGAGTCTCCTTGTGAGATTGGTTAACACAATCATTGGCTGTTTTTTGTAGACCTGATGGATCACGCACGATGACATCGGTGCAGCTGTTCGCACGATATCACTGCTCATTTCACCAAATGTGTATGCAATATTTTAGCTGATTTCGCCGCCTTCTAAATCAGTACTTCAGCATAGCAGACCAAATTAAGCGAGCTCTCTCACCCCTCCAAGTAGTCACAAATCTGGACCACAAGTGGATGTGGGTGATAGGGTCATTATGAGCGCGGTGGCGACAACGGATTTACAAATTCATAGAATATATTTAGTACTTGTACTATTGTAATTGTTCTTATACTATTTTGGGAAGGGTCTCCTCACAAATAACTAGATGACCTCTAGGTGACAGGTGATCGGAGAGCCTCGGACTCAAATGGAGGCACTCACATCTGTGCGGGTGCTATTCTTACTCCATTGCTCCAGACCAACTCATTCGATGGTTTTGTATAGCTATTTTACAAGCTAGTTCGGAGTGTTGTCAGCTTTCACAGTTCAACTCTATAATCCATATCCGTCAGGGCTTCTCATGGTTATATTTGAGGCCACACATAAGGCTTTGCAAATAGAAGCAGCTTAATTGAATAGGCTCATCACCACTCAGCAATAGGGTAATGAACTTTACAACACCAAACGCCATTTAAAAACAACTCAGTCAATTGAAAGTTAATTGCATTATTTAGTTTAGTCGAACAGGGTTTCGGAAAAGTGTTGTTACTAGGCGGGTTAAAGAGTCTCCTAAAATTGGCGGCACACACCCATGAAAGCGGTGAAGATGCTTCAGGCTAGACACGATGACCTCAAATCATTGGGTTTCCGCAAATTAGGCTGGGTAGGCACCGCACAAAACCAGCCGTTTGCCTTATTGCCAGCATCAGTAAATTTTATTCATTACCATCACAATGAACAGAAGGCAGTCGACTAGAATCATTGCGAAGTTGACGAAACTACCTCCTATGCATCAATTGACCTTAAAGTGCGTTATTGCGTTCCCATTGCGATCTTAAGGTGTGTGCTATTTGACTTCTAGAGGACTGGAGAGTTTCATCGCATGTTAATCCTGCTTGCAAAGGTATTGTAAATGTCGAACTCACCCACTAACAACAGTGACTCAATTTTGTGAAATAAGCCACGTGAATGAGGAGCAGAACATTATCTCCGCCGTTGCAGCACGCTGGAGCACTAAATGGTGAATGACAAATTCCATCTCAGTAGCCATCTGCTTCTGTTGGCCTTGGCTGAACGTAAGGATGTAAGACGCGAAATTAAATTATAAAAAACAGCAGTGAACATAAGGTTTATCATAAAGGATTCCACATTTTGGCAGGGTTACAAACTAGAGTAAACACTCGAACCCCCAAGACATTAATGTTCAAAATAAACTAATACAGTCTATTTAATTAGGATCAAAGTTAAGCACTTGGAAACAAATACCCACTTCTCCGTCGGAACCAAATTGCACTTTGAGTCGGGTCACGAGAACTCCACCTAACTACTTCCGACTTGTGTTTATCAAAAGTCACTAGACACACAATTCCGAAAGGAAAAGAAGCTCCCGAAAAAAGAAAGACGACTCAGAATCTTAGCGCTTACTTGGATTTGAATAATGCTACAACATTACTAAATTCATTCACGAACCCTATAAAAGCAGTGACGCGCATTCATTGTACTTAAAGCGCGAGAAACCACGTGAGCGTACTCCCCTATCGCAGATCCGTCCGCACAAAGGGGGTGAAGCAACACGCACCAAACCCATAGTTGACGTATCATCCACACTCCTCGCGTGGCAAATGACGTCAAAAGGATGCGAGAGTAACTACTGCTGATCTGCGCAATGCCTGAGGCTAAGTACATACCGAAGTATAGCAGCACTTGCTTTGACGAAAGAGGACAAGGAATTGCTGCAAAATCAACCCAGTCCAATTACATCGTTCCACGGACCACAGTTCCTCAGTCACTACAGTCGATAGCCAACGAACACGAGGCGATTCAAAGACCACCCTCCAGGCCAATTGAAGACGGCAATGTTACCATTAATAGATAACACAGTACGTTTTTATAACCATTTATAGAACAATCAAAAAAACAAAACTAATCATCTTTAGAACCAAGAGGAGGAAATCACCAATGAAATTGGTAGTCCAAATGGTCTAAGAACGATCAGTTTTCTTAACCTCCGACTGAGCAGAGCGGGCGGCTTGCTCCTCCTTCTCCTTCTTTTCCAAGAGTTGGATACACTCATTAATCTACAAAACCCATTTATATTAGTAAAGACAATTAGGGAAGCAAGGATCTATCATCGTATCTTACCCTCTGATGCAAGTATTCATCCGAGTTCATCATCTTCTCCCAATAAGTTGGCCCCAAGTTAAGTAACATTCCGGTCAACTTCCCGGCAGTAGTGGGATGAGTTACTTGAATCTTAGCGAAAAGTTGCTCCCCAACGAGCTGCCGATAAGCTGATTGCTCAGGTGTCAGGTCCACAGGAGCCCCATCTTCAACTTCCTTCTTTTTTTCTTCCTCTTGCTGAGTCTGCTGTGGCTGCATTTGATGTTGCTGAGTCGACAATGAAGACTGAGGCTGGACTTGCTCGCTGACAGCTAACCGAGCCGGAGAGACCATTGCACGAGGGGGTTGGGGTTGTGCCATCACATTCCTAGCCGTTTGATTGAATCTTACATTTGCTGCGGCTGTGGCAGCAACTGGTGTTGCCACAGCCACATTAGGCTGGGCGATAGAACGCACCACTTGGTTCATTGGGTTCGGCTAGAAGTAGAAAACGCTATTAGACGTCAAAGGCAGAAGATAATAATAAAATGTCAACATTCAGAAGATAATTTACTCGAATGCCAGCTGTGACAGCCGCCATCGTTGCCCTAGGTACAGCTCCTGCAGCACCGAGAATCTGCGCAGGTATACTCGGCCGCTGGGCTCCGTACTGCTGAGGTCCAGTAGCGCCAGCTGCAACAATACCATTAGCTGCGCCAGCGCCCAGAGCCGGTATAGCGCTTGAGATCATGCTACGACCAGCGGTCTGACCACGAAATTGGGGATTAACTAAATTGCCTTGGGCCAATTGACCCTGTCCCATTGCAGTCATAGCTCCCGAACTACCGACATATGGGGCTCCCACTGTTGGTCTAAGAGCAGGCGTGGCACCAATTCCTGGGTGACCCAGCTGAACTTGAGGTCCTGTTATAGCACCACGATTCCAGCGAGGCTGGGACGCCAAAGGTGCTCCAGTTTGAAAAAACCTCTGTGTTGGATTGAACGGGGGTTGACCGAAAAAACTCGGGAGTCCATGTGCTGCTGGGATATTAGCAACATTGGGTCTGTATTGAAGTCTCTGCTGGTGTTCAGCAAGCAGTTTGGCTCGCCGATCTTCACGTCGCTGAGCAAGAGCCACATAGAGAGGTTTCGAGCCCAAGAGTGTTCCGTTTAGTTTCACTGCCTCCTTCGCCTCCTCAGGTGAAGTGAAGCAGACGAATCCAAAACCTTTCGAGGTACCGTTTGCATCCGTCATGACCTTCGCACTGGTGATCTTGCCGAATTTGCCAAAAGCCTCCTTCAAACGAGCGTCATCAATAGAATCATCCAGATTTTTGACGTAAAGGTTAATACCCGCCGCATACTTCGCGATACGCTCATTGCGCTGCTTTTCGAACTGCTGACGTAGGACTTCTTGGCGCTCTGCCTTCCTTTGAGCACGATTAACGTAGAGCACTTGCCCATTTATCTCCTTGCCGTTGAGAGTGTTGACAGCTGCCTCAGCGTGATCGGGATCATTGAAGCAGACAAAGCCAAAGCCCTTAGACTTGCCCTCTTCATCACGCATTATGCAAGCGCTCTTGATTTCACCAAATTCGGAGAAAATTTCCTTAAAACCCTCATCAGTAAGTTCAGAACTAAAGTTCTTAACGTAACAATTGTTAAACTTCGGCTTCCCGGTGGCAGCCTTGCGCTGACTCCGTGGGATAAAAGGGCCAACATAGACGATACGGTCGTTAATCATTTTGCCGTTAACCGCATTTATGGCGGACTGAGCGCACTCTTCATCCTCAAAATGAATGAAACCGTACCCTTTTGAATTTCCAGATTCATCAATTGCGATCTAGCATATTGTCACGCAGGAAAAAACAACAAACCTTGCATGACAGAATTTTTCCAAAGTGCGAAAACGTGTCATATAAGTCCTTCTGAGCAATGGCTTTGTCAAGATTTTTAATGAAAATATTTCCACGACCGGATTTACGGAGAGATGGATCTCTAACACACCACATGATGCGAATTTGACGGCCTAGAATGTTCTCGTAGATTAGACTCTCCAAAGCGCGTTCAGCTAAAAGTACAGTAAGAAGTTGACTGAAAGATACCATCTTTTGGATTCTCGAAGTTTACATAACCGTAGCACAATGACGACTGTCGAGCAACATCACGGCACACCCGAGCGCTCAAAACTTGACCGATGTTGGAGAAAGTAGCGTACAGCATCGATTCCGTAACCAACGGATGCAAATCCCCAACATAGAGGGAAGCCTGAGGAAGATTCTGATTTTGAGTTGTACTGCTAGCCATATTTTTGGTTTTTATGAAAATTTTGCAATCTTTTTTTGGTTTTTTTGTGTACCTAGCACGCCTGCTAACGATATCAAATATTTTGCGAAGTGGCGAGGATTCTCACCTATACAAACAAATATACGCTGACTTAAGTAATAAAACAGACAAAGTTCAAGTCGTGAAATCATATAAATCCTTACTGAAAACAATTACCTAATTTTTTTAATCAAACGAACAGCTAAATCGAAATGTTTTTCCAAGTATAGTTATGACATGAATTGAAAATGTATGTCGTCTTGTGTTCTTGATGATTACATTTTTTGGCTCTGTTTTATGCATACATTTTTATGTTTGAGTTTATATAATCGGTATGAGTTGACATTTGTTTAAAATCTTGTTATGCACCTGAGATAGCTCAGCCTCGCCATATAGCTTGGTCGACGAGGTTATCGTTAGAGATGGCTCTTCGTTGTTTAATGTTGTTATACGATTGCTTGCTGACGTTTTTGCTTGTTTTATTGACAATGACCCATTTTATTAAGATCTAGGAGGCAAGATTGGCCCTGCATTAATTTTAATGATTGTGGTTTGTAGTTGAATGTGCAGTAATCTTTAATGAACAGGCTAATTTCCTCGTCAAGCCGGCTGTTTAAAATTCCTCGAATTGTAAAGTGAAGTCGTCATGCACTCCCTACTCAAGTCGAAATCTGAAGTCTGACGGCATACTGTTGTTGCAACGCAAACATGCGGTTGAGGAGGGATGACAAGATTTTTAGACCATATTCTAGGTTCTAATTCTGCTGCATTTAATTAACCTCGTTCTTTGACTAGCTTACTTGCAAGCAATGGTCGAGCGGTATGAAGTGAATCCATTTCTGATCTTAATGCAGCTTACAAATATGGTATCATTTAGTGTGTATTTGAATTGCTGAGGCATTTCAGTGATAGTGGGCTGAGACAGATGAGGGAAGTGTGTTTGGTACTGGTTTCGAAACCACTGGCTGAAGATTTTCGTTTATCGACGGAGACTTGAGCAGCTCACATTCTCTTTATCAGGAGCTTAACATCGCTCACTGAAGTTCGCGCTCCACTGAGACACGTGTTTGGCCGTGCTGACAACCTCTGAAGCCTCACTATACGTAATTAATACTCACTCCCTTTCACAATGCTTCAACTTGTCATAATTCAAAACTATACTGTGGCGTAGTTGACAATGGTAATCATAATAAGTTTATTTGTGCACCATAACTGGTGGGTGCAGCGGTTTCCCACTCAATACGGGCGGAAAGTCAACTTATGCTCGTGCGAATTGGACAAGCTATAGTTGCTGTTCTTCGTGTAATGTGCTAGTAATTTGTCCAAGTTTGGAACTCTTGTTTGGGGTGTTAGCAGTATTGAAAGCCCAAAATCCAGAAGAAGCGTTACTCCTTACTACGGCCACTCTCCTTACCCATGCGGGGCAACAGCAACAACTGTCGAAGCGCAGTCCCAACATGGGGTTGGCATGTCCGATGCCACTACTCAGAGGGCAAAAATCCTCACATCGAAGCTGAACTTTGTAGATCTCAAAATTATTCCTCGACTCCTACATCCACTGTGCTCTCGCTACCCAAAGCTCACTTGAGCGCCTTCAGCCAAAATTTTATAAGAGCCAGAGAGAGGACGACAAAAAAAGCAGCAGTTTATAATTGCATTAAGTTATACAGAATTCGGGTTGGTTCTCTTGTTCTCTTCAAGCAGCACTTCCTAAGCGAGCCGCAACCCATTGTGGGTGGTCAGTTTCGATGCCCTCGAGAATGTGATTCAGTGAGGCCCACAAATTCTGCATTCGCGTATTCGCTGATGTCGCTCCACTGTCTTCTGTAATTTACAAAAGACGTAAGATACCGTTGTTGGTATTACATTAGAGACCTCAATACAGTCACGATCTACCTTTCTGACCGCCTATTTTAGTGAGGTTTCAGAGACGAAGTAAGTTAGCGGCAGTTGTGAAATATTAAAAGGGCAAATGAAGAACCAGTGAAAGCACAGAGGCAGTACTTTCGTGGTTTTTTCCCCCAACTCGAAGGCCAAATTTGAAAAGACACCTGAACCAATATAATTCCAGTCGATATTATTCATTTTCGGAGCGCTTTTAGAGCAAAGTCCCACTATTCCGAATTGGAAACACTACCGACTAAACCAACGCCTACATATAAAAAAACATTTTGCAATTGTTCTACTCCGCTGCTGCGCAGCTCTGCTACACTTGAGAGGAGTCTAGAGGCCGCCTCACTTAATTTGAAACAAAGGTATAACATGCCTAACAACGTACTGTCGAAGTATACGACTCCGTCAATTTGGTCGATTTGTGCAACCATTCGATTCTCTTCAATCATTTGCGCGGCAATTGACTCTGCCTAAGGGGACAAAAGAGACACAAAAGCGAGACTTACTTGACTAGTTTCGACCTCCAGCAATTCACCAAGGTTCTCCAATGTGATGTTGCTGTAAAGATAACTAGCTGCAAGCATATTGTGTTCCACCACGACTCGTTCCAGAACCTCCTCTAATTGTTGCCCTCCATCACCGAATATGTGAGGATAGTACTGAATAAGAAGGGGGCGCAAACTCCTCATATTCTCTCGACTTATTAAACGCTGTTTATGCCTACAGAAGTAAGTGAGAGCAGCTGATAATAGCTTGAACTAGGGCTTCATGCAACTAAGAAACTCACATCCTTTCCAGAATAGGAAAGGCTTGGAGAGCATGGCAACGCTCATCTTTATAGAGGAAGGCCAAAAGGCGAGCCCGCTGCTGACCTGCGCCTCCCAAGATGGCAGATAGTAGTGCGTGCTCAAGAAAAGCAGTTCTTTCAGCATCCGTTGAGATTTCACGAAAGCGAATCGATAACTCGATGTACCGTTGACCGGCCTCTAAAAACTTGCGCTTTGAATCCATTAGTTGCGCCTGAGCAATCTAGGTGGACGTTCTTAAAAGTATGGGAACACACTTTAAAGCGCATTTTTAGACGCTCATCCTTGCAACTATTCAGCAGCTTCGATACCGAATTGATAGCTGATTCAACATTATCGGGTTCTTTCAGTTTGAAGAAGCCGTCGACGATACGGGAACATATTTCCAGTTTATATTCGTCAGAATAAACACTAAGGATCACAAAAAGCGAAGTTAGAGTGTCCAAGAATTAAGGTAAAGCTAAATACCTACCAAGTATGAGAATCAATAGGTATCCCGCGGAGTACCGTAACGGCTTCTCGAAGATCACCGACTTTTACGAGACGCTGAGCAAGGAGGTCTCGTAAATTTGCCAACTAAAATAAACCAGTATTGAAATGTAATGTGCTGGAATACCTGCACTTCAAGTGCAATGACTCGAGACTGAAGTCGTGAGAGCACTTGCACGAAGGCTGAAATGACCAGCTGGTCATCAGGAAAACTATCGATGTAGTGGATTAATTCTGTGCCGATTTGACGAGCTGTGATGACCGTCACTGTACCCTGACATACTATCAAGAACTGAAACATATAGATATAAAAAAAGGCGCAAGCATCATAGGCATGTTCTTACTCATGCTTGCAACGTTTGAGACAGCCTCGACGAAGAGGGCCGACGATAGACTAGTTATGTAATCAAGTACACTTCTAAACCTAGGGAAAAGAAATAACAGAATTTGTGGCTACTTCTCTAGAGCTTCATCAGAATCCTTTTCAGCCAAAACCATTGTCATATCTTGGAAAAATTTTGCATCCAGCGCCATCTCTGATAGGCGCTAACAACTAACCGATGTTTACAGATAGCGGCTCCTCTCAAGGTGGTTACAATGCAAGCAAAAGAAAGCAGAACGTCACAAAAGTCCCGAGCACGGCTAAATGTCACCCGAAGTTTTCGAAATTAACCTTCTTATATTGACAAATTAAAACAACAATCGATCACACTATTATACGCAAGCTTGAGTATTCCTGAAAAGGCATTTAATCATGATTCTATAATAGTTGTTATTCGTAAGACTTCGGTTATAGCTATCATTCTAGCACTTTTAGACGAAAAACCGAAATTATTTAGGCAATCCCAATCAACAATGTTCCCAACCCTAGCGTAAATATTTTTTAAGCTTACCCCTAGAAGTCATTAAAAGTTTTGGGCAAGTTTTAAAATTTTACCTCGATAAAAGCACTTATGTGATTACAGAAGTCGACCTTTGGATTGTGATTTCCCTAATGTGTTGGGTTATTGTTTTAATTTCTTTATTGGGCGTCTAATGCTAAATCTCTTTATCGAATTTTAGTTAGACGATCCAAGACTTTCAATTGGACATAGGAGGAAGCTAATTTAGACTGGCGGTCACTCGATTAGTCGCCTTAACCTTTAGAACGCGGGCTGGTCTTTGAGACATGGCATGTTCCAATCTCTTCTAATACTCCTAGAACGCGCGTATTCAGCTCAACTCAATGCCTTATTGTACCTAGTGAGAAGTCTTTGGGCGCAACATGGGACATTGTCAAAGTGGAGGCTTTAGCAGACATGTGAAGCACTGCATTTTATTCTTGCTCTCGAAAATTGTGGAAAACATTTATTCCCTTCACCAACTTTGCCCATATTCCCATGGAAATCCGTCACTCATTGGTGACGTCCCCTCTGCATACTCCTAGGTAGATTGTTTCAGTCTAGCTGCATGCAGACTCGATACAGCACGCAATTGCATCTGATACTGTTTTGCATTTAGCTATTTTGTTGCTTCAAAATCCATCAAAAAAGAGCTTTCAAGGAAGAGGAAGAATTTTTCATTTTTCCGCAACTATTTTCAGTGTAGCCACTTTACTGAGCAGGCTTTTCCGATTACATTTGACTCCACGAGCCTCCAAGATGCTGGCAAGATCCACAGTGCAGTTGTAAACATAGCCCAGTTCTTCTGCCATAACCTGGGAAGGGTGGATTAAATGCATTATCTGGAAAATCAAGTTTTCCAAAAAAATTATGGCACTGGTTTAAAGAAAATTACCTGTGTCACTACAGACGTGTTGACGGATCGAAGTGCCGTATATCCACCTTTGCTAACACCGTCAATAAGTGCTTTCTCTAAAAGGGTTAGAAGTTGGATCCTTTCTCCACCATCTATATTGTCGTGTCTTGCCCCAAGCAGTCCCGAAGAGAAGCATTTGCTAGCATCATCCAATTCACCAGCCTCAGTATCACATACTTCAAATGCCTCCTCTACATGGTAGTAAAGCGGATCTTCAACTCCTGGAGCGGGCGGATTGGAGGCTGGAAAACCAAGTGTCGCTGCGTAGACATCTGGAAGCAAGGCTTCAAGTGGACCGTCAGGATCGCCATTAGTAAACCCTGCTACATATACAAGACCCTGCATGCTTTCGAATTGCTTCAATCGACCAAAAACGATTTGACGCATTGTCTTTACACTCAGATCTATCATTTGCGCCAAAGGCTCATGTTGCACAAAGGACTCGGCAATAATATCAGCAATCACATCTCTGCAGTATTTATCGTGGAAAGGTTGATCAAAAAATGTTTTTCCCGGTTCATATTGACGAACAAATGGTCTTTTTTTGAGATCTGAAGGTGACTTCTCCTGATCCAAGGGATGTTGGCTCACGAGTATGTCCAGAATTTCACCAATTTTCTTGTTCACCGCGAAGTCACTCAGGGTTACTCTGAAACCCTGTTTCCGTAATTCAGATACTATACCTGCAACCTGAAGGAATACATCCAAAGCGACGTTAAGGGCTGTCAGACTGCATAACCGACTTTTCTTTTAACATTCCCCATGTTTTCATGCCGAATAATATTTTGGCTGTCGATAATATACTTTTCTTTTCCAAAAACCAGTGTATTCGATAAATTATTTACACTCTTGTTGTTGTCAACATTCCAAGTGTGCATCTTAAACTCTGAATGCATTTGAAGCGGTGTTTATGGCTCTCTCGATACACAAAATATTAGTGCGATCAAAATGACTCTCATACGACGACTAGCATAACCTCTGAAGACAACCAACCCTCACTACTGATGTCACAGGTTGAGGGTATTTTTAACTATGTAGAGCACTTTTGAATACGATTGGGGTGGGGTAGGAGTGGAAATGCGTCATTGCTAGGATGTCCCAACTGATGCACGTAGCAACTATGAATTCTTATCTATCGTGAAACCAAACACTCTTGACGCGGTAGTCGGATGAAACAGAGGGAATGGCAAAACTGTCGGTTGGCACAAATTCAGCTTTGTAGTTCAAAGTCACGTTGCTGCCTATCTCTAGCACTTAAATTGATAGAAGAATAACAAAAAAGATTGCAATTAAGCGATGAGAATGGCTAAATGAGCATGGAAATGTCATTTACAAATGTACTACTGTTTATTCATGTAAAATTATCTCAACTTCAGGTCTTTCTGCTTGTCGCTTCAAGTGTCGATTTGAGTCGGTCGCTGAATTTTTTTACCAGGACAGGGGTACAATAAATTACCTAATGGCAACTGCTGCTTATTTATCTCCACTGACACTATTTTACTACCCGCTTCAGATTCTGAACTGCTGATCAGGACAAAATGTTAAAAACTATCACCAACCCAAGTTTAGGCGACTTGAGGACTTTTTAACATTTGCAGAATAAATACCTCCTGCGGAAGCCTTAATGACGCCTTGCAGGTCTGCCATGATATTACTGGGTTGGATGCGAATTAAAATTTTGTGCCACGCCTAATCGTGACATCCATTCCAGTGTGCATAAGAAGAACTGATACTTGTTATGTGGTTGATGGGGGGTGTCAGTTAGTAGGTTAATGTAATCGCTCATCTGTTGTAAGCATAGTTTTAAGGACATTTGTGTTTAAGTTACTCTACATAAATCCTTTCATCCGTTTTCAATCCACAAATACCCAATTGCTCACATACCATAATTGAATCGCCTCCAATAAGGAAGAAGTCTTTTTCATCACTGGGCTCACCATTGGCTTCAGCAGCCTCAGAGAGACCGAGATGCTTTGCAAACACTCGTCGAATAGCCTCACGTTGGCTATCTGCTGCCGACGTCGCGACCTTCACAGAGCTATCCACAGGACGCGCCACTTGATCGTAGAGGCCGTTCTGAAAGTTCCGGATTAATCTTACCTTATCAATCTTCCCTGATTTCTTTTGAATGGGAAATGAAGGCACCTGAAAGTGCAGAAAGAAAGTGAGTTGGAAACATACATGGAAAGTAGAAACAAGGGTACGATTGTAGTGCTTGCCATGACGGTGAATGCATAGCACGTGGTTACGGTTTGCGGATTGAAAGGAGAAGGGTAGTAATTAGATGAAAAGGGTAAATGTGCAGTCCTTGTCGGAATTTAAAGTGGGTCTGGATTGTCATGCATGGCGCAAATCCTGAAAATAATCCAATTTTGTTACAAACCACTTAACAACGCAATAAATATTCAACATGAGAGATGTTGTTTTAGGCCTTATGCACCATAACAGAGGTCACAAATTTCGAACAGAGGAAGACTGAATTGTCATTGGTAAATACAACGATATGACGGAGCTGTTTCGGTCTTGATCACAGGAGCAGGTCGTGATTTCCAGCTGTAATCAATTGCGGGCTGAGAAACACCTACTGTAACTGATAAAACAGGGCGTGTCAATGTTAAGGCCATTTTAATTTTGTTTTATTGATAAACAAGTTCAACTTATTGGTTGAACTTCATTCGTGGATGATAACACCTCCCGTAATGAATGAAAAATGTCGCCGCAAATTTGAACCACCAAACCGTCAAAAGTCTATGTGTAATCGGTAAGTAATTTGTACAACTGTTAGGTGCTTACCTCTAAGAAGGTGACATTGAGAAAGGCCGAAAAGTGAGTTCTCACCACCTCGACAAGATCGGCATTGGTGAAGGAGTAGTCACAATTAGTTTCCCGCTGGTAGAAGCAGACTAGACGTAGGTTCATCTCGCCCTTCTCCACGGGAACAGTCAAGGTCGTGCCAAGACCTGCAAACCTCCCACCTTCATATCGGAGTTTGGTCAGGAGTTGGTCGATGTTACCAACGCAGATCTTTACGCCGTTCACCTTCACCATGTCGTCTACGCGTCCAGTGACATAAAGGTAACCGTTTGTTGGAGAAACGAACCCCACGTCACCAGTGCGAAAGAGTCGTGAGAAACAGATCCGTGTGGACAAAGTATTATTCATCAGAGACACAGTTTGTCTGTGGAGTTTGGCCCAAAGAAGGAACTGGGAGTAAGTGACAGCTGAATTTAGCAATTCCAACATCCAATACAATTTATTCCATCCGTTTTGTTTCAATCAAACGGATAGTAGCATCTTGATTGCAGGAGTCAATTTTATTTTGCGGCATACGAAACCCTCATTCCGAGTTGCTTTAACTGTAGGCAAGTCGTTGACTTCGTTTTCTAATGTCGCATTGCGATAAGGACGTCGATTTGCTTTCATCTGACACCCATTTTTATGTTAGCGTACTCAGGTACCCACAAGCAAGGCAATCAAGACATTAACTAAACACTAGTGGTGCATGCAGATAACAAGGCTGTCAGCAGGATTCCACAATAAAACGATCCACCTCAATTCCAATTACCTATTTCGCATAGGGTTTCCTATGTTAGTTAAAAAATTTGGAATAAAATGAGAAAATTTCTTAGTTTAAAATGCATGTCGTGTCTCAGTGGTTCCTTCGGAAGAGGTATGGAAGCTACTAGCTTTAGTCAGTGATGGCTCCCTAAGTCAGTGGAATCCCAATTCAAACATAGGCTTAAGACTTGCCTGGGACTTCGGTCGGCCATTATTGGTTCCTCCACCAGAATTGCAGCACCGGACGCCATCACTTCACCCTCCTCGCCTATGTTTACCGGAGTGATTGAATCCTCCTGACAACCCTCGCTCACAACATAAATCTCAACATTTGGGATCGGGATTCCCACAGGCAGCACAAGACCACCTGCAGGCGATTTGACTGCTACAGAGAGGATCTCTTCTTTACCATCAAATGCCAATGCAGTTATATCTCCAGCTACTTCCGTGCTTCCATAGAGATTCAACAGTCGTAGCGGTCGATGTCTAAGCACCTCAAACACTCTCATTGCCAAAGTGAAGGACAGTATTTGTCCACTTGAAACGATTGCTCTGAGAGATTTAAATGCTTCTGACTCCCTGTCCAACTGCTTCAACCAAGATTCCAGCTGCGAAGGTACACTGGTGATTTGTACAATCTGAAAACGACTGACCAAACGACCTAAAAAATCGGCATCGGAGACAAGTCTCTCACTGCTGATGGTGGAATTCCCAGTCACAACAACAGTTTGACCACCTAATAAAGGTCCGAACATTTCTGTGAAGGCGTCTACAAAGAGCCAGGATGTTTTCGCAAGACGTGGGCCAGTTATTCCAGCTAAGGGAGACGCAGAACTCCATTGCCAAGAAAGACGATTGGCAAGTTGACTGTTTCGCAGTAGAATGCATTTTGGAATTGGTGAAGTGCTGCCGGAGGTGAAAAGAAGCAGAATTACGGGGTTCATCATACCCGTGAAGAGAGGTTCCAAGTTTTTACAACCACTTGCTTCAGCCTGGCTGAGTAATTCAGAAAAGGTGAACAAAGGAACTTGGCCGAGTTCAGGTTTGACCTCATCATCATCAGTGATGAAGGCTACTGCAGAAAAAGATTCAGCTATACTGGCTATTCGCTGTTCGGAGAGATTGCTATCCATTGGAATGTAGGCCAGACGCAGACGCATGCAGGCAAGCTAAGGCAAGGAACAGCATCTTCGTTAAGCCAAATACCACCCCTTTTAAGCAGCGCAACTTGAAGACATTTTATTTTTTTAGTCCAAAAACAATCAACTCGAAATTACCTAAGCATAGTTAAGGCATAGTTGAGGATTCGTTGGATTCTGTGCTCATCAATTGGTAAGGCGATCATGCTTACGGTAGCATTAACTCACACAACAATATTTCTCTATTTACCAAATAAGCCCTGAGGTTGTACACATCAATCTTGTTCTGTAAACGTCGCCCTTCGACCGTTATACAATCACCACAACCAAAGGCCAAATTTCGGTGACGTGTGACTGTTTACTCGCCTGTCAAAACTATGAATGAGAGCTTCTGGTGGTTTACACAACCAAAATATTTGGATGTGTTCAAAAGCTGTACGTTGCACAGTAATTCACGAATGAAAAAAAGTGACAGGAGAAAATTTGAAAAAAAGTGCAATTCGGCTGACGCCTGCATTGTTCAGCGACGGTAGAATCGGCCAGTGGACACATGCGCATTGCAGTGACTGTCATACGAAGCATCGATTTGTACCAACGCGCCACCGCCGTACGTCCCTCTGACAGTCGGACGTCCGGGCAATGCTAGTAGCTTCAAACTCTTCTAAACTTTCACAATAGGTGGATTGTGTTTGTTGTAAAGCAGTGACCTAAATGAATTTATCACGAAAATGCAGTGTGCAAACGTCTCATAATCCTTGTTAAATGTCCTTTAAGAAAAACAGTTAAGTAGCTTAATCGAGAAAGTTGTAAAAGGGGTCTTTGTAATTTATGAGCTTGTCTTAAAATTCAGTCGCTTTGGTCGAAATTACCCCCTAACAACTTTAGTAAATGTCTCGAATGAATTGCGACATAGCGCTTAAAGCAAAGTAATTACCTCATTTGGTGGGTTGGTTGGTGAAATCTGTAAGGAGGGCTAAGTTCAACGCTTTTGCCTGTAACTTCAGTTCCGTAATGCTGACTAAGATGTCCGCGATAAC